AATTAATACATTAGAAGATCTGACTTTGGAACATTTCTCTGAGACTTTCTTTTGCAGATTGCAGTATGTATTTATGAAATTATATTCCCATATTGGAGATTATTGAGCTGAATCCCTGTTCTTGAGATAAATATGGATTTAGAGCAGAAGAGCTGCATTTGCTGTGAAATATTATTTGTAAATGTGATTTATGCATCTTCTCCTTTGTGATTCTTTTTAGTAATGAAGTTTCTAAGCCCACGTGAACAACGTCTTTCTTTGCCTTCCAAAGACACATAAACCGTGGGTCCTTTTAGTCTTCTTGCAACTTCCCTTGCTTTCCTGGGCAGAGGGAGAGGAGTTACCTTGTTTTAGTAGACAACTTTTCACAGTTTTGCATTCCCATACTCTTTTTATATGTCAGTGCTTTTGTTTAAGTGGTTAACAGGTAGAAGGCAAATGGAGAAACTTAAGCCCTTATTTTTGAGGTTTTCATGTTTTCTAAATGCAGTTAGATGCTGGCATGGGTAAATTAGAGATCTTTGCTATTCTGTAGGGAAGCATCTCTAACTGCCACTTGTGGGTCACCTGGTGGTGTCACGGGCTCAGGAAACAATCTAGGGATCTCCAGTCCCCCAAGTTGGCCAGATAAAGTCCTAGTGCTCCTTTCCTCACTAATCCCATCTATAAAGTAGACTCCACTGAAGCACAGAGTATTACGCTGTCTGATTTATTTCATTAGCAATCCTGCCTTTGCTTTTGTCCCACCATTTCTCTTTATAAGCTATAAGTGCTATTTTTATCGAGGTGACCTCTATAAAAGAAAAACCTTTCAAAACTTGACACTAATTGTTCCATGACTCCATTCCTAGATAATCAAATAATAAGCTCTCCCTTATTCAAATCAGCTATTCATAATATGACCAGAGGAGAGAAGAATAAAATACTGTTTAATCTGTGTGGCTTCTACAGAAATATAAAGAAAAAAAAAACAATTTTCCTTTTTTTTTTTCATTATAATACTAGAAGATCTGATAATTTTCAGAAAGAATAGAAGGAATTTAATCTGGTGGTTAAAAAGTATTGCAAATCTGTTTTGGAAAGAAACCAACAGTAGTGATAATGTGAAATTTCTGTCAGTCCTTTCAGATGCTTTCACAAAATGTGACTTGAAGGTTGTACCGTGGCAGTGAAGCTTTTGGGGACAAGACAATTCTGAACTTTATGCAAACTTGCTTAGAGAATTCAAAGTTGGGAACATCCAAATTCTATTTTTTTTTTCTGGAAATCATCCATGCTTTGAAATTTTCCTGGCCACCAAACTTGGAGTAAACATGAGTAAGTGGCAACAAATAAAAGAATATCCATAAGTAAACAGAGGATGTATCTTAAAACTTCCATGAACGTTTAGGGAAAAGACGTTCTGGACTTTATCATTAAAAGCAATTTCGTGCTTCAATTAGTTGTTAGTTAGCAGGTAGCTGAGATGCTGTTATTTTATTGCAGTGTTTTCTTGTGCATTTTTACTGCTGCCCTAGATTTATGAAGCTCAGGAGCAGTCACATGGATGTATTCTCAGATTTTCATCCTGTATTGTTGCTAAGGAAACATCATCTTTAATACTGTATCCTTGTCTGCAGCTTGTCTGTGTTAATCAGTGCTTGTTAATGCTCAGGACAAAATAAGAAAAGATGGAAAAATGCTGATTTCTTTTATTATAAAAAACAGGTTATCGTACACTATTCTCCTTCAGTATCCCTTGCCACTAAAAATCTAATACAAATTGGAAGGTCATACCCATATTGCTGTTCTCATCAGCAGGCACAGTGTTTACAGCCTTTATACTGTTTCAAAGAGGAAATTATTAATAATGAACATCATTTACCTGGCATAGGGATCATACAATGCATTAGTCTGTTGAACGTAGTGGGAAATGTTTGAGTGCTGTGATAGACGGGAGTAAGAATCTATTTGTATGTAAAGCATAAAAGAGGAGTGAACTGTGTTAGTGATCTTATTTTGCAGGCTAGGCCTAGATGTGATATGTTGGTATTAATGTCTGTGTATGTCAGCAAAGGAAAGACCACCCACGGCTCTCCAGATCTCTTGAGAACTTCTTGAAGGAGTCATGTTCTTGGATTTGATCAGTACGCAAGGCTTAAGACTGGGAACTCTTAGTGCATCATGAATGAAATAGCCAGGATTTGGGGATTAAGGAGGAACAATTTCCATCCATCCTGCTAGCTGGTGAGATAGAATACTTGCAAGTTGCACTTTAACCTGCCCTTCACTCTGCAGGTGAAACGGGTTTGGAGGAAAGGGCTTGCACATGGTCATTAATTCTACGATATTGTTCTGTTGTGACTACAGGCTTTGGATGCTGGTTTGTGCTGCGTGATGCCACATCGAGGCAGAGCTCGAGTTCAGTTGTTTAAGCCAATATTTTTTTTATCATGATACAGAATGAGCTATACTGTGATATTATCAATTTAGTATTACTTGCTGTTTTTTTAACAGAAAGAGTGAATGTTTACTCTTCTTAGTAGGAAGAGAGGATGTTTGCTTGCTATGTGTAGAATGGAGTTGGTTGCCAAATTTGGAATTAGGATGTATTTTTTTCCTCCTCATAATGTCAGGCTCTGCTAGACTTCCTTTTCCTTCTCTCATAGCATGGGGCATGAATCACACAGAATCATCCCTGCTGTTTCCTCTGTAGAATTCTGTGGACTTGCAGGTTCCTAAGCCTTTTGGTGGCCCTTACAATGGCAGTCCCTACTGCCCTGCACTGTTTGTGGGTTTTAGGCTTCACCTCTGAGAGTACTAAAGAGGTTACAAAGTGCTAGGAGGTGTTTTGTAAGGTCTAGTTGTACAGGGTGTTCTTGGAGCTGTGTCCAGGGTGACACCTAGAAGCTTTTCAAATAAACTGGCAAATGAATGTGTGGTTGTGGGATGGCAACCGTAATCTGTTCATTCCTTCTAGTATTTCTGTTGATGATTCATTTGCCTGAAATTGCACAGTGCACTAATAGCAGAGCTGAGTCTGGGATTGAGGAGTGTTGACGTCAAGTTTCATGAATCAGTCATAAGGCTGCTTTATTTTTACCTTTCCTCTTGGTTTCAATCTCTGATTTTCTTTCCTTGCTTAGGCCCTTCACTTATTTCCTCTTCTTGTGTTTCTTTATTTTCCACTTGGCCTTTGTTTCCCCACTCCATGGTATCCTTGTAAGAGTAGATCCTTTTCAATTTAGCATTTTATCCTGCTTCAGATGCTTTTGCTATTTTCCCATACCGTGCTCTGGGAAAGGATGTCCACGTTGTGGTTGGGACTTGGTAGCAGAGCTAGAGAGAAATATACTAAGTTTTATTTGCCTTTTCCTTTTTGCACTCTTTTTATAGTTAGTTATGAATTTGCTGTATCAAGTAGGGAAGGCGTGATAAAACCAGAGAAATAAGTGGCATTGATGAGAAGCAAAGTGGGGAAATGTTGGTTGTTTGATTCCTGATTCCAAGGATAATGTAGAGTAGCAAGGAAGAGAAATTCTCAAAGAAAAGTTGCAAGATCCATTACATTTTGTAGAACCTTTGAAGGTTAAAAGATACTGCTCTCTTTACAATTGTGCATGTGGGATTTGTCATACAATAGCAACTATCTGTTGCTATTTTCCATTATAACACTGTGTTATAATGGAAAAGTGCAGAAGTACCTGGCATGGTACAGCCTGCCTTATTGAAAATAAATAAAATCCAATGTAATTGTCTTGTCCTCTTTTGCTGCATTAAAAAGAACCTTTGGAATTAGATCCTTTTCTAGTAATTTCCTGATTGCCATGTCCTGCCTACTTCTACCATGCATATAGACTGCCCTCATCTCCACCCTTTTAGCTTCGTTCATCAAAATCTATGGTCAAGCATCAGATCTTACTATCACTGCAAAGTGTTTCAGCCCTCTCCTTTCCAAATAGTGGTTAGACACAGTTCACGGTTCATGTTCATGGTTCAGCCCTCCGGTCTCCCAGCCTCTCTGGGAGAGCCACGGTCCTCTCTGGTTTGTTGAGGGGGGTTGTGGCAGAGTTAACTTAGCAAAGTCAAATAGTCCCTCTCCAAAGCTTGACTTGTCTAACATAGGATGTTTCTTGAATCACTTCGGCTTGCTCTACCTAGCTTGGGTAGAATTTCATGAATCACCTAGGTTAGTTTTCTGTTAAAATGTGTTTTTCCTTTTTACTTATCTATGTAATAACATGACTCAACAGACCTCATGTCCTCTCTTGCCGCTTGCTTGCATGAACAAAAGAAAAAACTGTCTTAATGACTAACGTACTCTTTAGCTTGGTCGCTGATTTGATGAATTCTGAAGATCCTCTGTGGACTTTGAAAAATTAGTGTATCAACTCTAAGCAAATTCCTGCAATGTTAACAATATGAAAAGCAAATTACAGCTGGAAATCAACTAACTCCACTTGGTGCTTTTCATCTCACTAAACTTTCGCCATCTGGCCTAAGCTTATCATGCTTTGGCTTCCTGCACTTTCAGTGGAGAGGTACCTTCAAAGGGCTATTGAATCCTCTCATGAAAAAGCCATCAAATAATATAATAAAATCCCTTGGGACATGTATAGATCTCTCTTCATGGGCAGTTAAGCCCTACTTCAGATCTATGTCCTTTGTCTTTTATTTTAAAATGTCAAATGGCAAGAAAGGGAAAATAGATATATTTTAGCACATGAACGTCTGGCTTAATAAATTTTGTGTTTTGAAACAGAAGAATAATGAGTATTGGAGAATTTCATTGGAAAAAGGCTTGAAGATTTAAGCTGGAGAATTGTGGGGATGTGGATGCTATTAAAGGAAGTTTTACAACTAATATGAAATCACTGATATAAGATAACATGCTGATAATAATGAAAAGTATTGTGAAATCATTTTTAAGGAGTAATATTAATCCCCAAAGTAGACAAATGCAAAAAACGTCATGCAAAAAATATTTTTGTATTTTAAATGATTTACTTTTTTTTTGGCAGCCTGGCTTTGCATCCTGAGCGTGTGTTGGTGGCAACAGGTCAAGTTGGAAAAGAACCATATATCTGTGTGTGGGACTCGTACACTGTGCAAACTGTATCTGTTCTGAAAGATGTTCACACACATGGTATAGCTTGCTTGGCTTTTGATTTAGATGGTCAGGTATGTAATTAACATTCTTTTCTTCAAACAAACTGTTTATCTGTTGGAAGTCTTTTTTTATAGCTCTTCCTTTTTTAAGAAGATGTATTGACTTGGGTTTCATCTGCTTGTTCTAAGGTCCAGAAAATATTGAACTTAGTAGTGACTGACAAATTTTTGCATTTAGCAAGAAAAGTGCAACTTCAAAAGAGATTTGAATGAAGATGAGGTTATAGGGAGATTCTTCAAGGCACAGTCAGGCCCAGAGAGGCTGTAAAAACGTCTCTCTCTCTCCCTGTCCGTGTCTGTCTCTCATTTCAGCCCTGGGGACACAGTTCAGGGCTGCTCTGCACGGCTGCAGGCAGCTGATCTCTTGTCTTGTGTGCAGAGCTCTGGCCATGTCTTTTTGTGAGAGTGGTCTTGGAGAGCTGATGTTTTGGGGCAGTACTCCCTTGACTGTCATGCGTTTTGCATGTGCTCATGGCTTTCCATATTTGAACCACCTATTCAGCATAATATAAATGCAAAAACATGAGGAAAAAAAACCACAAAACAATTAGATTTTCACTTATCATTCTGGATCTATGAGAAAAGAAATAAATTGTGTGGGGTTGCAGCAATGTTGTTTCACAAAATTCTCTGAAATTGCATTCCACAGTAATTACAAATCAGGAAAGTTGTTCTACCATATATTTGCTCCTCACAATGAGTAAAGAGGTTTGTTTTGTCGGTGCATTACATTGTAAGTGAGAAATACATGTTAGCCGAATAGCTGAGGAGGTGCTAGCTAGGGAAGTCTTGATCTTATGCTGCACTTGTTCCTTCCACTTAGCCTTGCTGTGTGATCCTCAGATTTATCTATATTCTCAGTTCCTCCAACTTGCCAAAAAGGACAATTTCTGTTATTTATTTTTGTGTTCCTATGTGTAGATTTAATGTTGGAGGGCCCTGTCTTTACAATGATATGAAGTGAAACAATATTGAACAGTAATGGTGGAAAGCTTGGTTCTGTGTGTTGGTTTTGTTAAAACAAACTGAAATTATTGTAGGGAAGTTCTCATTTGTTATAATGATCTACAATTGTTAATGCTTTAGACCTCTCATCTTTTACAGCTTTTCAGAATCAACTGCTTTCTAGACCATTTCTAGTTGGCCATAACATCTTGGTCTATGTCATTCTTGTCTGTATAAACCCTTGCCTCGGGTCCTCACGTTAACAGCATTCTTGATTGAAAGTAAAAGTTTACCTCAGATCATTTGTTGGAGTCCCTTCATGAATAAAGTTTCTAGGAAAGAAAGTAAATGTTCCCAGTGTGTATTGGAGAGATTTAAGTGTGGAAGTATGGATTGTTTGAGGAGTACCCATGGATCTAAAGCACTGATTTTTATGTTTAAAGCTATAACTGAGCAGAATCTAGTGTATCTGCTTACTTCAGCATTTCAGATCACTTTTTCCAAAACTCTTGAATTTATTCTCAAAAGGAAGTTTTATTCCCAAAGGGAGGTTTTTCAAGGTGTGTGCAATCAGAATTGTTTCCTTATGGCAACACAGTAAAACATAACTTAGAAAGATCTGCAAAACCAGGAAGATCTGTTTGCTTATGTCTTGCAAGCCCCTTGAAATCCAGATTTTCTGACTCTTAGGAGATGCTGAAAACATCAATTAATCTCCTTTTTGAGTAGTAGATGTTAAAGGTTGGCTCTCATAGGTGATGCATCACACAAAATATGTCATGTGTACTGAGTAAAGGTGGAAGGAGCCTGCTCTGATGCTGGCGCTTGCCCGAGGCCGCGCGTGGCTGGAGCGGTACCCGGGGCTCTTCCCGACATTTCCTCAGGTGCAGCAGAAAGGATGGACTTTGCAACATCTGAAAACTTGAACTTGTCATTAGTGAATAAGAAATACATAGATCACTTGTGTTTACCTTCTACTGCCCATGCCCTTTGTACTTTTCAGACAGTAAAGAAATAGTATTAGTGGAAGTAGAAGTTATTTTGTTGGAATTTTTTTCTTTCACTTGGTGATAATCTACATAGAAATTAAAACTTTTTTTCTGAATATATAGACTAGTTATTCAGTGGTGGAAATGAGTATCAGAAATATTTGCAGTTTTCATCTGTCAAAATTATGATGATGCAGTTCCCAAATAAATAATAAAAGATTTTACTTCCTTAAAAATCACTACACAACTTCATTTTTGTTTTGTATAGTTTTTAATACTGCCTCATTTTTTTCTGATCAGAATTTTTATAGCACAATAACATTTGAACTGATTAACAAAGGCAATAATTTGGACTTATCTATTCTGATCAATGATTTGTGTAAAGTAGTTTTGGCAATGTATCTTCACAGGTGAGAATAAGATCTTAAGGGTTAGAGCATCTAAAGATCTTAAACTTTTTTTTCCCCTGTATTTTCTTGGAATGATTTTTGGTCTTTTCTGGTTTTATAGTTTAATTGACTTCAGATTCCTTCTGTGTATGTATATACTTGAGTATACTGATCCTTCAGACAAAGTTGTGGGCCTTGTTGGATTCTGATTTGGTAAAGGACTCAGTTATTCAGGCATGTTTTGAAGACTCAAACAAAAGCTTCTTTCAAACTTTATTTATATCTTTTATTGATTTAAATCTTTTGTTAATAACTTGCAAAATTTCAGTAATTATGTAATTAAATGTAAACACAAATAGTTTCATTAACCTCAGTGATGATATTTGTTTTTATTTCTTTTTTGTCCAGATTGGTGCCTACCATATATAATTATACATATTAAATCAGTGCTATGTTATTATGTGAGATTATGTTATTTTTTATAATCAGGATGCAATTTAATAGATAGATATTAATTCTAATTCAAATTTATTGTGATTTTGTTATCCCTTAAAATTGTGACGCTAGCCTTCCTTTAATGTTTTGCGTTATTTGTATTTATTTATTTAATTTGGACGTTTTTAGCGTTTGGTCTCAGTTGGTTTGGATTCAAAAAATACAGTATGTGTATGGGACTGGAGAAAAGGGAAGTTGTTATCAATGGCACCTGGTCATACAGACAGGGTAAGTATAACTAAATAATGTGTTAACGGCATTTTATTTTGCTAAAATGTTTAAACATCTCTGTTTTAAAGTATATATGAGATTTCTCGCATATGAGAGCTTTGTCTGAACAAGAGATTTTGCACTATAGAAACTGATTTCATTTGCCTAAAACCCAAGCTTTAAAATACTGCGTATTTAAAATACGTATTTTTTTTTCTAGACTAAAACCTATAACTCATTTTTGTATACTTTTTCTGACTATGAGTGGATATGGGAAGTGCCAGATTAAGGTGGTACTTTGACTCTAATCCAAAAGTGGAAAATGCTAATCTGTTATAAAAACATAATCTCTTAGATTTTCAAATCCATAAATCAACTTCTATGTTATGCTATTGTATATTGTACTTATGCTGGAGGCAAAAAAATCATTAAAAACATTCCAGAAATGCTTCTAAATATGTTTTTATTGTCTGTTGATCAGTACAGAGCATATTGTCTCTTAATTTGATATAAATTGTTACTGTTATCCTTGCTAATATTAGAAAGTCCATCTCTGATGTTCTTTCTTTTTCTTATTACAGATATTTGATATTTCTTGGGATTTGTACCAGCCAAACAAGCTTGTCAGCTGTGGTGTCAAACACATCAAGGTAGTAAGTGTTATAACTTATTTAAGGTCCTAGTTTATACTGTGTGAAATATGTGAAAAATAGAATCTAGTAGGAATATATCACTATAATAGAAAAGTTTCTCCATAAGAAAAATGGTGATTCTTAGGCTGTGGTTTGTATTTTATTATGCTAGACATTTTGCACAGAGTAAACACGGAGTAAAACAGATTATCTCTCAATAGACCTCTCAAAGTCATCCTCAGTTTAACATCTAGAAAAGTAACAGCTGTCAGCATCATCATATACAATAATTATGATATAATTTAAAATGCAGGTAGTCTGAAATACAATGTTTAACAGCTCAAATAATGTAAGAGAATATAAGAAAAAGTGCACAGATTTCAGGATTCAAGTTTCTGATTCTCCTTGAGAAGTTAATGAATTGTCGCACTGTGAAATGAGTTGAGTCTTGCATTATGAGAGAATACAGGAATATAGTGTAAAGATAAAGGAAAAATGCTTAATCTTTGTTTTAATTCTTTTTCTGTTCATTGCCTGTCATTTTGAACACTAGAGTTATGTTCCCCCCTAGAGGATTCATAATTTGGACAGTTCACACATTTTCAAGCCGAGCATTTTGTAGAGCATCCTGGTGCTTTTGGTCCTTATACCAACAAGCAGCAGAAGCAGCTCCTCGCTCGCTCTCTGCCAGCAGGGTTATCAGTGCCCAACTGCCATCAGACCTGGGCTGTCACTCCCGTCTGCCCTGGCCTGTCCATGCTCTTACCATGCTCTTACCATCTAACAGCAGTAGATGGCAGCTTCAAATTCTGCATTGCTCTTGCATCTAGCTTCCCACAGCAGGAAAATTATGTTCCTTTTCGTACAGTGAACTCTTAGAGGAATATGCAGGAATGATATATTAAATTAACATACTGTTTAGTGTTTTGTTTAAAGATTTTCATGAGCTTTATTAGCAAGTAACTTTTCTTACTTCAGGATCTAAAAACACCATTATGCTACTACTGAGCTAACATTTGCCAACCATAATTTAATATATTAAAGGTGGCTTTATGTTGTCAATACCTCTCTATTTGGGCAAGAAAAGGTTTATTTTAGCAACTTCAGGGGTTTAAAAGCATTTAAAATTATTGAGAACGTCTTAAAAACAATGTGCTTCCTTGAAGACAACTTTCTAGGATTCAGGTTTTTTAGAGTTAGAAGTATTTTGATCAGGCAAGAAAGCACTCCTCCTTCATAGTTCTTTAGATATTGACTAATTCTTTTATTATTGTTTGTTACCTCACAAAATATTTTAAGTAAACTGTAATACGATTTAAGCTAGCAGAGACTTCCAAATGAACAGAATCAAGGTATTGCTTTGCTCAGGTTTGTTATCTGCTCTGGTATTGTGTCTGATTGTCTAATTATGCAGTAGTTGTGCAAGTACCTCTCAAGCAACAGCATAATCATGACTCCATGAGCTGTAGTTAAAGAAATAATGGATGTGTCTAATCAGTACATGGTTATTTTGAATCAAATACTGTTAGTACAAAAATCTCTTCAGTGCTACATTATCCTGTGCTAATGGAGTTCTCTGCTCGGAATTGGGAATAGTTTATTGGTAACAAATAAGCCAATATCTATCCCTATCTGAAATTTATGTACTCAGATCAAATATTAGATGTCTAAAGTAACATACTGTACAAATGCAGCACTTGGAAATAGAAAATGCTCCAGTTGTCTTAAATCAAAACCTCAGCTAATCTTGTTATGAGACCCTTTTCAAAAATAATTGAAAATGCAGACAATTGAAAAATTACAATTTGCTGGAAGAATTGCCATCTGTTTGAAACTGAGACCAGGAGCTCTTGCTCACTCGTCTACACTAGTCTACTACTATTCTAGGTTTTATGGAAAGATAAAGTTGGTTGGTTAAATAAAAATTTGTTAAAACAACTGGAAAACTAATGAGAAGAAATTTCTGTTAGCTAAATTATAGGATATAATAATTATATCTTACAGTTCTGGAGCTTGTGTGGTAATTCATTGACACCAAAACGTGGTGTTTTTGGCAAAACTGGTGATCTCCAAACTATATTGTGCCTCGCCTGTGCAAGAGATGAAGTAACGTATTCTGGTGCACTGAATGGAGATATATATGTATGGAAAGGAATCAACCTTGTGCGGACAATACAGGGAGCACACGCTGTAAGTATCTATCTTCAAATTAATATAAAATGTTGGACAAATTTCTGGAGAGTCAGAAAAAGGGAAGGGAAGTACAAGATCATATGATCGTCTTGCTTGGAGAGATGGTACTGGTGTCATTCTTGATGTGTATATGACTTGTTCTTAAACAGTTTTCAGATTTGAAGATTGATTTAATCTCCCTGTCTCTCCGCCGCCATTACTAAAGATGGGACATATATTGAATATTGAATTAAGTACAACATTTGGGGGCCTGTTTGTCATTATATCTCCCATTGTAGTTGATGAAGATTAATCAATAATCAGTAGAGCCAAAAATGCATTTTTATTTAATTTTGGGTAAGTATCTATGGCTCTGTTCATTCACACTTGCTTAGGTGTATGGTGCCATTTAGGCTCTGTACTTAACTGCCCTTACTCATGTGATTTGAGTCCTACTAGCTGATAATTGATAGCTCTCTGCACTGCAGTGTTTGTACCCTATCACCCAGGTCACTTGTAGGCACCTATGTTTAGCCATTTTAAATTGGCTCAGTCACTCCTCCTTACTTATTATGTTGTCTTTTACTGCACTAATTCAGCTTTTTAGAACAGTGTGCAGTTGTGAAAAGTGAAGACCTATCAGTGAAAATGTAATAGTGTGTTTTTTTTCAAATGTGCTTAATAACTTTTTATTTATAAGCAAGATGCTTAGTGCAACTATTAAATGATTTTTTTCTACTTTTTTATATGCTTCTATGATAGAGGCTGGCAGGAAAAAAGTCCTCACTTAATGGTTCATAATCCTATTTGTACATGCCAAACTTATAGTCCTTTTCTGATCATTGTAGTAGGGCAATTTAGTGCAAGACTCAACTTCTAAGGTTGTCCATGTATGAATCAAAAATAAATGACCATTTTTTCATGTTCTTTGAACTTATAATGCATGTAAATGTCAAGATAGCTTTATGGTGCTATGTTATTTGCTGTTTGAAGATTGGTTTTTAATTTTGGAAAGCATTGCATCTTCTAGATATTATTTGAGGCTGTCCCCTCATTAATTAATGGAAATAATGGGGGAGTGCAAACATGAGTTCCTGTGTTCTATTTTTGAAAATCTGGGTAAAAGCAGTAAAATTTAATTTCCTTTAAGGGAAAAGAATCTGTAAGATAAGAATATTTCTATTGCATTCTCTAGTTTTCTCATAAAAATACATTTTCAACTGGATCTGGCGGTTGATGCATGTAGATTCATATAGCTGATGCAACTAGATGCATGTAACTGAAATATTAAAACCACTTTTTATGTTTGGTCCATGCAGAATTGAGAGAAGAGAGGAATGAATGATCTATATGTGGGATTTCAGTCAGTCTGTTGTAAGATGACCCTTTTGATTTAGCAATAACTTAAAAATGTATGCTTAGGAATTACTACTTCAACCCCTTTAAAATTATTTGCTATTTCAGAAAACTGTATAATATGACAGTGTGTGTGTAATTCTGAATAAAAAGTAGAGTTTGAGGATCGTAAGTGTGAGGAACGTATCCTAGTTTGCATTTTTTTGCTTTTGAGATCTCTTACAATATGTATGTACAAAAAAACCTGCAAAACTATATGCACCCTTTGGGACTTGTAAGTTATTCAGTAAGGCCTAAGTCAAAATAGAAAATATGAGGGAATATTTTAGCCTCCAAGCTTTCTTGGATTCTTAATACCAAATACATTTGGGCCCCCTTTTTTTTTTTCCTTTTTTTTTCCCCATATTTTCTTGAGGTGACCTGGATATTTACTAGTTAATGTGCAAACTAGTGAAGTTTGGAAAAGGAGTTTCTAAATGATTTAGATTGCATTCACAGACCTGGATTCCCAACGGAAGCAGCATACCTTGTCTTCTATCTAAAACTGTTTAGGAAAATACCTTTCCATCCAGTTCAGTGCTGTAAAAGGCATATGTCCCGTGCATCCACCTGCTTTTTAGCTATTTCGATATGAAAAGGCTCAATCATTAAACACAGGACAGTGTGAACTTCTTGCAGCCTTACCTTGGGTGCAGTGTAAGTTCCCTGCCGAGCACAAGATCAGTTTTGGAGTGCTCTCTTCCTTATCTGCAGCACAGGCAGACAAAGCTCAGGTGACCTTGGGCTAGGTCTCATCTAACCTTCTATTTTTGGCTGTGTCCTTTCAGATGAATGGAGTTGTTCTCTGCAGTAGGTTCTCCCATCCATGACTTGGGAATTCTTTTCACAAGAGATTAGAGTTACTACAAATCTCACCAATTGAAGAAAATACAGTAAAATCTCCAACTCAGAGGATAATATTGTCAGGCAGTTGTAAGCACAAGATAAAAGTTTGGAATATCAGTGTCTCTTCGAGCATACTAATAAGCTATAAAATTAATACGAAATATCTGTCAAATGATAAATCGTGTCATCTTATCTGTTAAAAGAAAATGCATGGAGATGATAGTATTTGTGATGTGAATATGTTGCTGTCAAAGGCATAGTATAATCAGTATAATCCTCTTGGAATCCTCATCTTTCTTTCACGCTTGTTTCTCATCCTTCATCATCACTCCTTATCAGGCTTGAATTATTTGAGGAAAGAATAAACTGGATTTGCGGAAACATGTCTTATACATAAAGCACCATGTATTCCTTTCCTGCAACATAAGTAGTAGGGATGTGAGATCTAGGAAAACACTTTTCTGAAGTGTTAGGGGTTTGGGGACATAGTCTCACCAGTTGGTGGTAGTCTCTGTTAATGCAGCAGACTATTAATTTTTTTTCAAAATTTTGACTACCTTTAGTACTGCTGCCTTAGTTGAAGAGGCATTTTTCATTTTAATGATAATATAACATGAAAAATAAACAATAATGCCCCAGTGTAAGTAACAGAGGAAACAGATAACAGCCTTAACATTAGCAGACAAAATAAGAATTTGTAGCTAAACCACCAAACTGTCTGTCTGCTGTTGTAGTAACAGAAAGAACTTTAGACATAAGAAAGAAGAGTTGCTGGTAGATTCATATCAGAGTTTAACTGGGAAATGAAAAGGTGAAAGAAAGCAGCGTGTTGGAATGAAATGGGGCATCACTTGCAAGAGCACTGCAGCTCCATCAAACATAGAAGTGGAAGGGAGAAAAGATGAAAAGGAGCAGTAGTTAAGTAAAGGCATGGCACTTATATACAGAGCATGTTAGAGAGCAATGGAAAATTGTGGATTTTTTTTTTTCTTCAAAACTCCCTTTCCTGAATAATAGTAGCAATAAAAGTTTAAAGAGAAGAGGGGCAACATGAAAGTATATGTAAACTTGTTGGCAGAGGCAATACTTCAGGAGCTTGTTTGTAAGCAGTACGTCGGATTCTGTAAAGTTAATATTCATGCAGATAGGTTTATAAAAAAGTCATTAAGCATATGTCACATTTTTGTGCTAGTGAAAACAGCAAACAATAGAATCTTCTTTTTATTATCATTATCTTTTATGCTCTAAATTTGAGGTAACTCAATTATCAAGTATATTACACACACAGTATGTTACTTGAGCACTAAAACCAAAAATTATGCTTATTTTAAAAACACTCTTCTAAAGATTTTTGTGTGCTCTGCTTTTGCCTTGCATAGTATATGCGTTTAAGCTGCTTTCTCAGCAACTGAATAATTTAGTTAGAGATAGTCTTTCCAAGGTACACATTAAAGTTGTGTGGATTGATGTCAGAAACTGAGGTTAAATAACAAGCTTGAGGTTAAATAACAGGCACCCTGTTAAAACTATTGCACGTCTATGTTGGTTGGCTGAACGCTGATTAAATATAGATGGAAACAATATAATGAACTTAAATGAATGGTTTTAAGCAGGTATCGTGTACCAACACACTAAGTCACGCAGTATTTTTCTCCTACTGCTTAGGCTGTTTATGAATTTAAAAGGTATCTATCCACTTATTACAGTCATGAGAAGCATATAGACAATTGTTTTTAATTTGTTATACTATAGGCACATTCTTAATTAACTGTTTGGGGCATAATGTGTTAGAAAATTTAAATTTGACAGTCATGTTTCTCTTTTGTAAACACACTGAAACCTCTTCTAAACATTTTCAATCTTTCTCCTTGTTATGCAGTATGTTATTATCGTAGAGTTAGGGCCCAGCATGTCTGTTCTTTTATGTTATCATGTGTTTCCTGTGTTGTATCTAGGAGTAAAAGAGAGTCAATGTAGTTTTCATAGAACTGGCTTAGTGTTTCCATTTTCCATATTGCTCAGTAGAAGACAGTTTCTTCTCGTAGCTGCCTGATGTTTCCGTATAATTTGGCCGTGATTGCAGCTAACTGCAGTAATAAGCCCTAGGAATTGCATAGTCAGGATTAGTGTGGTGGCTTTTATATGAATTAATGCATTTTAGATAAATTGGGAACTTTTTTTTTTTAATCCATTGGAGGCAAAATAAGGTCCAGAAGCAGTAGGAAACCTAAGACTACCTCAGTACTGCAGATTTCTTCACATATATATATATATATATATATATAAAGAAATATATATATATATTTATTGGAAGAATATGAATAGAGTAGTACAGACCATCTTTGACCTGTTCTTGTGTTTCTCCATTTTTCCAAATATGTTTTTTAGTCTATCTAGGCATTTATTACTTCCCAGTTGGAAGAAACGCAGATCTAATACCAGCTGAATTTATTGGAAAAATAGGGAATGTCTGCGTTTTGGAGGAGGAAAAAAAAAAAAAAAGCCAATCAATTTGAATAATTATTTCCAGAATCTTCCCATACATATTGAGCAGACAAATATAATGCAGTAAAAGCATGTGATCTTTGTGATCTTTCTCATTTTCATGAGATTTTTTTTTGTAGCAGAACACTGTAGGTCACATTTTTAATTTTTAAGGTGGAAGACCTTTATCTACACCTCTTATTTTGATTCAGGAGGACTATCAGTTAAAAAACAAACAAAAAAACCCACCTTTTTTTTACACTCACTATTTGACTCAAACAAAGTCAGAGCATTACTTGCCCCGTGATCTCTGCTAGGATACAGCTGACTATTAAGAAGAGAGTTATGTTAATGACAATTCCAGACTGAAGGATTATGAGGAGCTGGAAAGCTCCATAGTTGCTTTGCCTTAACAATCTTGACAGTTTTTAATAGCAAAGATTTAGTAGAAGGATTGAGACTGGCCAAGCTAGTAGAGTAAGGAGTTTTCACCTCTTAATGCAGGCCTAATAAGTAAATGAGGCTGGCTAAGCTCAAGTTTCTCCATTTCATAGTGATTTTTTTCTCTTTTGCCTATAATTCTACTATTGCAGCAGGACAGAGATTGACCTGGGGATGTCCTATTGCATTTCACGAGATTGAGCAAGCACATCTGCCAAATCTCCTTGACAACCAGTATGTTCTTTTCAAGATAAGGATATTCTGTACAATGGGAAGCAGATTAATCCTGGACCTGCTTGATCTTATCTTCCGAACATTCAGCCAGTATCCCCCATCACCAAATGTCTCATTTGTTTTTAATACTAATTAAATCGTGGATTTTAAAAAGGAGTTAATGAGAAAAAAATGAGAAAATAATCTAATTCTGTTAGCGGAGCTGCATTGCAAAAAGAGTTTTAGAAGATTTAAATATGCCAAAACTTGGGTAGAATTTGGTATGTGACACAAAATGAACTAAAACTCCTCCAGCCTCCGATTTTCTCAATGGTGATAAAAAGTTAATGCAGTAAAACAGATGGGCATCAACACGCAAAACCAAATGTAGCTTGGATTGTATTTTCAAAAAGTCTTTAGGCTTCTAAAGAAAAAAAAAAAGCGGATTTCCAGAACATTAGAGATAATATGAGTTGGTCTTTCAATCTGCTTATGACTTGAAAATTCTACTACATTTCTGCTTAGTCGCAAAAATTTCTGAAAATGTGGCATATCATAAAAGCCAATGTCCTAAGTGTGGATGTTTCACACTGAAAAAGCTGAGTTTGACCACACTTATCTTTGAGCCTTAATTGTCATCGGACCTTTCACCAATATGTTGCTTTGTGTGTGAAAACTGAGACGGGGAGATTCTCACAAGCCACAACACTGAATTCTCAGTTGTTTTTGACTTCAAAATTAATCTCCCCTTTGCAAATAGTTTTCACTGTTTGCAGTAATGTGCCTCAGTACTTAAAAATCACATCTCAGCTGGGGAAATCATTGGAACTGTACTTCTCCTTTAGAAAGCTGAAATTTCAAAATAATATTGTAGAAATTTTATAATTCTTATTGTTTTACCATCTCTTTGACAGTAGTTCCGAACCACATTTTCCCTTTCATAATTTTTAATGATTTCCTGTTTTTTTTTCTTGTTGTAACTGACAATATTAATTATTTACATTAAGTGTAGGAGTAATTTTTGAACTTCACACAGAAATATTAGCTGAACTTGTGTTTTTTTAGTAGCACCAAATACTGAAATAACGGAGATGCTTTATGAAATAAGTAAGACTGGTGAGTTTGTTTTAGTTCTCGTTTCCTGAAGCCTACCTTTATAAAATACCATTATAAATTTATATTCTTTGTCATAAAATGTAAAAAAAATCCAGTTATGTTTATGAACTGGTTGCATAAAAGCTGACTAATAACAGTAAAGAACTTGAACCAAGCCTAATGGAGACTGCTGGAAACCTTTCTGCTGACATTGGACCAAAAATACTTGAGCAGTTCAGAATCCTTAGCCTCTTCCTTGAAAACACGATGCATTTGTGTATCTGAGATGTTTGTACAAATAAAAGGGATTAATTAGATATAGTAAATGTTATTTTGTAGGAGTATGGAGTAGTGAGTCATGATAAACAATGGTTTTAGAGCTCCAATCTGTGAAATAAATTGAGTTTGTAGGTTATATGAGTAAAGTGTTTTAATAGATTGTTTTTATAGTGTGGGCATAGATTAACCCCTTTGTTGAATTGTTATTTTTTTTAGCCACTCGAATCAAAGATTACAGTCTGTTTGTTTTACCGTTTTTGCCGTCTTTACTATGGTAAAGATCATGCTAATGTGCTTGACATGCTCAATACACTATAGAGGCACTTGGTTCTTTCAACAGCATGAGAGGTGGGAAGACATTCTCTACTATCACTGAGAACAATTCTGCTTTCCATCATGGTATCTGTGACCTGTCCGTGCTGTTAAATAGACTTTTCTTTTCTCTTCAGGCAGGAATCTTTAGCATGAATGCCTGTGAGGAAGGGTTTGCCACCGGTGGCAGGGATGGCTGCGTTCGCTTGTGGGATTTAAATTTTAAACCAATTACTGTGATTGATCTCAGGGAAACGGACCAAGGATATAAAGGTAAAAAGAATCCTGTCACTTTTGGTGTACCGTCAGGCAGGAAATTTGTCACTGTTTTAAACAAGCAAAGACTTCTTTCTTAAAAAGAAAAAAAAAAAAAAAAAAAAAAAAAAAAAAGAGAGAGAGAGAGCTAAAAAAAAAGTGGTTGCATGTGTTTTCATATGAATTTTGCCAAATGAGAAGTATTCTGTGTTTAGCAGATGCCGGCTGGTGAATATCACATAGTCCTTCAAAGAAATATAAAATATCATAGAGAATTTATAGATACAGAGAATAAACTTTTTTCCTCTCAACTAATACGATGCTCGTTTCCTCTACAGCACAGCAGGTTTTACCAAAGAACAGTAGCACTGAGAACTTGGAAGACACAATGAGGTCTATGATAAGAAAACAACAGAGTGCAGTATTGCCTTCTAGAGTTAACCAGATTTTTAGCAAAATTTTATGGAAATACTAATTCGCGCTTCCATAATATTTAGAACTCTGCCTAGATATACCAAAAATATAAGGGATACCTTCATTTTATGGTTTGCGTCATTAAAATGTTACATCTAGCAATATACAGTATATTTAACATTATTGTCTTAGATATTGTTGCTGTAGTTCATCTCAGAAAAATGAGGGCAACTTGCACTGCAGCACTAATGTCACTTAAAGAATTGCTTTCAGTGGAACTAGTTCTCCCCACCCATTTTGCATTAACCTTCTCTAAGGTCTAAGGCCAAGAATATGACGTGTGGTGCAGTGTCTGAAGACAGTCCGTGGCAATAAATAACTTATTACAACCAATAAAAATAAGTATTTCTGTTTTGTAATTGAGTTGGAAGCACAACTGAGATTGTCAAATATTCCAACAAGACTGAATGCAGTCTCTTTTAGATGCTCTGGACTACAGTGAATGTCATGACTGGGTCAATTAAGAGAAGTGATCCCTTCAGTCTGCAAAGGACAAGCCTCATTCATATTTATACTTTCTTTGTTTCCTAAGAACACAGACTCATTTTTTTATCTCCAGTATTTTATAAACCTGCACTTTAAGTTACTCTTTCTGGGTAATCATTTCAGTTTCTGTGATATCTGACAGATTGATTTCAAACCAGTACAATCACAAATTCATTATTTCTAAATACAATAATTACATATTGGGATTTCACTGCAACTCTAATTAGTCTTTCACAGGAGTGTGTAGATAATTGGACTTGCTCCTTCAATTTAAAAAGATTAAATCTAGTTTTGAATGTATTTATCAAGACTAAAGGAAAAATACATGTTTGTGTTAAGCTATGTTTTGTCTTCTGATACCACTTAACCAATTAACTTAATATTCTTTGGAGGTACTCCAGATCTGCTAATTAGATTCTAAGTGAATTTGTACATTATCAAATGCATTTTGAAATGAAGCTATTCTGTTGTCTCTCATTTTCAAAATGATACTAATGTCAGTGTATCTGTCATTTTTGCTATTGTTAATTAGTATTTTTTGTAGATATTTCCTATTTTGGTATGTTTATTTTTCAGTACATATTTCAGTTTAACTGTAGCCACCTTTAGGTCTCTAACAAAATAATTCTTGTTGCTGAAATAAAATGACATCTAATAGGTGGTGTAGCAGTGACTATTGTAATAGGACTGTGAAATGCTTGTAATGATTTTGTTTCTCCTCCATTTTTTTTTCTTTTGAGCATAAACATATGTCCATTTTTTGCAAAAAGTTTGCAGCTAAACACTTACACTTTACTGCATGCAGCTGAAAGTTTCATTTTGTTCCCTGTTTGCTGCTTTGCTTTTAGTGGAAGAGACTCTTGCCAGGAGCTCTGCCAAGTTCTCCTTGATCAGCTATGAGAACTTTACCTCATCTTGTTTGACAAATGCCAGTAGCTGCCAACAGTTTTTTAATAAATTCAGTTTCCTGAATCTTCTCCCCTTGGTCTTTTATATTGTTGACTATTTTTAGCATGTCCCTTTGAAGATTACCTTCATGACCTCTCCTATTCACTTTCTTAGTTATGTTCTCTTTCTCTGCTTTTCTTACACTTTTTCTCTGGGTAATTTTATCTGCAAATGCACACTCAAGTATTGTATCTGTATGGGTGTCTGTCGATTGACTCTACATCTGTCTCTTTGCAACCAACCAATATTTACAGAATATCTGCAACCACCACAAGAAGCTTCAGATTACTAGAACAGATCTCTTAAACATTTGGAAATAACTAGAAATGACATACATTATTTCTTGTTTTATTTTTCACTAGCTGTGGACAATATAGCCATGTAATATCCATATCATAGAAGTGAGTAGTAGAGGGGTCATGCCTATATTCACTGCTGTGTCACAAAAAGAATAAATGCGGAAAGTGAAACAGTTGGTGCTGAGGCCTTGAGTCCACAATATGTATTCATTCTGAGGGGCACTTAACTGAGTTACTGCTGGTCTGGCTCTGTGGAATGAGCACTGTTTAGCAGTTGGAGGGAATTTGATGCACTCCACGTCTTCCAGTTCACTTTCCCATAGAAGTTTTTTTGCATTCAGAGGCTGTTCTGAGTGCAAAGCCTGGTAAGTAGGCATGATCCAGGAGCTGTGCTTCTAAAGCTTTCTTTCTCAGAACTAAAACAACAATATAGATGCACAAAATTGGAATGCTAACCTTCATATCCACTGTTGCTAAGACTTTTGTTTTTCTTTGTAACGTCACTAACTTATCTTCTCTCTACAGTTAAATATTTTTCAGAAGCACATTGACTTATATTATTACAATATTCCTTTCCTTAGCTTTATAGGTATAATATTACCTCATTTATATTAATCCAGAATAGTTTTTCAACAAACATTCTGGACCCGCCTTCTACAACACTTTATTAGGCAAAGTGGGCCGGCTTTGGGCATTGTAAAGAGCTGGTTGTTACCTACACCTGAAACTGGCAAAATTGATTTATACGGGCTGACTATAGTGAATACAATTTTAAAAGTGCATATTCCTAAACTAGGGTATCTGGCTATATAAGTCATTCTCAGTATACACATGTCTTAGTTTTCATTTTGCTTATTCTCGACAAACAAGTGTAACTTGTGAGTACTCGGCTTCACTGTAAACCTGGAGACTACATCTGTTACTCAGAAACGTGTGTTAGATTCCATCCTCATCCTATTTCAACTCTTTGTATGTTGTTGCCAGTAAGATCTATTTAAGTTGGAAAAAATAGTTCTAGGTATTCAGATGTTAAGAAGACTGGATTTGAAGGGGAAGCATCTTAGAAACAAATAGACTGGGGAGCTCAGGCCCTTCGACTATCTCGCCTTACTTCTAAGATATGCTCCACAAATAATACTGTCACTTACACAGTTTGGAGTAGCCCAATTAGTAATACAGGTCTGCTCTTTGATCAGTTTAATTGACTTGGATTGGTGGAAAAGTTACTATTTCATGCATGGTACTTGTGGAAGTAGTGAGGAATACTGGCAGTAAATGGAGGAATATGAAAAAATATATTTATGGTATTTCTTGATATTTTCTTGTTTTTCATGGTTTTGTTGAATATTCTTTGACTAACGTTACTTTTATTTCACTAATTCACAGAATTATTTACATTAAAATATATAACAATCTTCTCCTTCTACAGGTCTCTCTGTAAGAAGTGTGTGCTGGAGAGGAGACCATATACTAGTTGGGACACAAGACAGTGAAATTTTTGAAATTGTGGTGCATGAACGTAATAAGCCTTTCCTGATAATGCAGGGACACTGTGAAGGAGAGCTGTGGGCTTTGGCTGTTCATCCTACAAAACCATTAGCAATGACTGGAAGTGATGATCGATCAGTCAGGTCAGTATATTATATATGTATATGTATTTTTATGCTGCATAATATTTTATACCCACATCTCATTTTATAGAAAACGTAATTGAAATGTACCCGTTTTAGTGATACTAAAATATAGTTTTGATGTGTTTGTGACCTGGTTAAATTATGCATGATATTAGAACTCTCCAATACTAGTGGAAATGGATTATCTACAAAATTTACAGAAAATATTGAATTCTAACAAAATTCATGTAGCCTAATGTTAAACACACCTATGCGTGTACAGATATCCAGTAAGTGTTTCATTTGGAGCAATTATAATGACTGGTTGCATAAAAAACAAACTAGATGTCAGGTTAAGCACATGAACTTTTGTCTGTATTTAGTGAATCATCTAGACCGTGAATTTTGTCTCTACTCATATAATCTTTGCATAGTATAGTCCAGCACTTAAAATTTTCACCTTTACCGGATTCAATTTTCTTTTGATGTAGTGAGAATTATTTTCTCATTTAGAAATTGTAATAAACTTAGTGCATCCGGAGTAAGTAAAATGTAAATTCTCAAAAAGCCTTGTAATGATTCCCTTCTGTAAGTTTACCTTTTCTGGTAAAAAATAAAAAAAATACTCTTCTTTATTAGAAATTAAGTGTTGATATTTTTGTTAAATATCTAAATGGAATGTGGGTACGCAAACATTTGTTGAACTGTAAATATTGAAATCCTTTTATAAAATTCTAGGTATATGAGAGATGTTGTACATATCTTGTAATTACAACGTATTACTACTAAAACTCAGAAGTTATAATATTGCCTAATTACATGTAGGGAGTTTAGAAGTATTATGAATGAGAACTTGTTAACCAGCATATATTTATATGGTAAATAGTTAAGCATATATTTACATGGTAAATAGTTTAATTGTTCTTCAACCTTTTCTGAGGTAAAACAATTAACAGAATACTTTACCCAGTAGAATTTTCACTAGAAAATATGTCGTCATCCTTTGTGTTTTGAGAAAGTCAAAGTTAATCAGCCCCTGAATTTTCTCATTAGATTCTTGCTTATTCTTTTAAATATAAAGGTATTCTCTTCTGTTTGGAAAACGTCTATCTTAAAAGTTTCTATTTAAATTATTCAAAATATTTCTTCTATTTAAATTATTTAAAAATAGGACACTACCATATCCGTCATTATTGAAACTACAGGCTTCGAGCTTTCTATCACACATTTACGAACTATTCCCTGTATTTACAATTATTACTTTATTTTAGAATTTGGAGCTTAATAGACCATGCTCTGATTGCCCGGTGCAATATGGAGGAACCGATTCGCTGTGCAGCGGTCAGCACTGACGGAATCCATCTTGCCCTCGGCATGAAGGACGGCTCCTTCACCGTGCTGCGAGTCAGGTGTGTTAGAGAAAATAAAAGTTGCTACGTTATCAACTTCTTCAAGTTGTTCTTCGAATTGCTTTCATTGATAAAGGGTATATATCCACACTGATACTATTGAGCTAATAGGAAGAGCTCTCTTATTTTCCGTTTGAAATCACTGGTCCTGAGGATTTTATTTGTGCCACTCCGATTTGGAGGACGAGACTTTCCGTAACAGCACATATGTAAAGGAAAAATGCTTTACTTTTCTAAGTAAGTCAGAGTTCTAGGATAGAATTTAGGTACTAGCTTTGTTAGTTATTCTTGAACTATTAGGAAATAACATAAATTATCACTTCTCTTTTTTTTCTTTACAAATTTTGTTCTCTTTCCATGAGCCAATGCAGGGCCTTATGTGTCAGTGGTCCTTTCTCTCTTTTGGGGTGCCAAGACATACCCAACCATAAAAGTAACAGTACTTGCTTGTACCGTTAGTAGTAAAGTTCCTTTTGTCATTTTATACTTTTGCCATTTTTTAAAACTGGGAATTTGACCGTATGTGAACTTTTCTATACTTAATGACCTTCTTCTTTCATACTACAGAGATATGACTGAAGTTGTTCATATCAAGGACAGGAAAGAAGCTATTCATGAACTTAAATACTCACCAGATGGGAATTTCCTGGCCGTTGGGTCTAATGACAGCTCTGTGGATATATATGGTGTTGTTCAGAGATACAAAAAAGTTGGGGAATGTATTGGATCTTTAAGTTTCATCACCCATATGGACTGGTCTTCAGACAGCAAGTATTTACAAACCAATGATGGCAATGGGAAAAGACTATTTTACAGGATGCCAAGTAAGATTTTTAAGCTGCCTTTATGATAATTGGTACATGGTAGAGGTATATAGGAGTTTTATGAAAGCAACTATATTTAGATCAAAGCACTGATTTGTACAGAAAAGTTTCCTTTTCATGTCTGTATAAATATTTGCTGTATCTGAATTAGTACAGTATTATTGCCAAAGTTGATTAAATATTTTGGTTTGATTTAATATTATGTATTTACTCTTATTAACTACACACATTTTAATGGTTGAGATGCTGACTTATAATTCATTTTATTTCTCAAAAAAAAAACTTCTCATATTACAAGAGAAAAAATAATATATTCAAATTCAGTTTTTCAGTAGCATTGTAGCTTTGAGCTTGAATATTAAATAGATTATAGTTTGCACTGTGTATTTTTGAAAATAGAGGTCAAGACGAAGAAATTCGGTCTCGGGTCATCTCGTTTTCTAGAACTATATCTGCAGCTCAATTGAGGAAATTAATTTGCAAGGACTTTTACAGTTGGAAATTTATATTTGATAGAAATAATCACAGAAATAGAACAGAAATGAATGTGGCAATATAACTGGATTAGACAACTGTATAGAAAATGACAATTGAGATACAGAGTACATAATGTAAGTATACCAATATATGTTAGGAGCTGTTCACTGAATGCTAAAATAAGTGTTGGATCTGTGATACGTATATGATTCAAGCTCGCAACCTTCAAAATGAAAAATAATATTACAATGAAATTTACCTGAGCATTTCACAGATTACATAAATTGAAATGCAGGTCTTAATTCCCTTTTATAGCAGGAGGCTATTAAAGGATTAAGATTTAGTTTTCAGTTTCAGAGTATGTGGCAACTCTGTTATTGTAAATATTTACAAGACAATAGGAACAGACCTATATCTATGAAATATTTCTTGATCAAAATAATCCCCTCTGCAGTGGGCATTATGCATGTGCGTGTTACATAAATCTCCGAATTTAAATAGTCAGGATACAGCAGTGTTCCGTGGCACGAGGATTAACTTGCTTCTCCTGTGTGTGTGCATTTGTTACGTAATAGCATTCTATATTTTTTCTACTCATAATATTGTGAATTTTTGTCATCATTCCTTACTATATTCCCCCTTTGTTTATTATGTAGTATTTGCACTTTGCACTGTACATTACTTATAGTTCCATGGGGCATTTTTGTGGCTCTTTTTGCTTATGTATCTAACTCATTCTGTGTACAACTCTGAATTAGTGCAGTGAACAAGACAGAAGATGTTATTAGAATGTTATAACAGGATCCAGTTACAATGCCCGTTTTTAATTCTGTATCACTTGGATTTAATTTCTTGATTTTTTGGAAAACTCTACATTATTCAGAAAATCTGTGAGTATTGAAAAATAACTGCATTTTTTTTCTATCAGGTGGAAAAGAAGTAACAAACAGGGAAGAATTAAAAGGCATTCAGTGGGCATCATGGACCTGTGTTTCTGGCCTTGAAGTTAATGGAATCTGGCCCAAATATTCAGATATAAATGATATAAATTCTGTAGATGCAAATTTTATTGGTCAAGTTTTGGTTACAGCTGATGATTATGGAATAGTAAAACTCTTTCGATACCCATGTCTAAGAAAAGGTAATACCTTTGTTTGAATTCATATATAAATGCTTATGACTTTTTGTTATTCCAAAAAATAAAAGATGCTTTTTATTTTATACTGTCAGCTATAACAAAATGTGTGTGTGTGTATGTGTGTATGCATACATATATATATATGTGAGAAACTTCACTATCCTAAATATATATGGTTTAAAAGTTAATATTTCTACACTTAAAAGATGCTTCTTAGTGACCAAAAAATTAATTAAGAGCTATTATGCCTCATACTGGAGTATCGTGTGCCTTCTGTGTTTCTGTTTGACTTAGTAAAGATATATAATAAAATCCAAATTTAAATATTTATCTTAAAGATGTATTAAAATTTCAGAATAATGCAAAAGTTGGTGCTATTAATTAAGGTAACACTAGTAATTAAGGTTTCTTAATTGAACTATTACTTTATAGAAGTGTTCCTTGAAACATTTTTCTAATATGCTTTTGAGAATATTTTCACATGTATTGAAAGGAATTTCTGTTTCTGTTTTAGGGGCAAAATTTAAAAAATATCTTGGACATTCTGCTCACGTGACAAATGTCAGGTGGTCCCATGATCACCAGTGGGTTGTTTCTATTGGAGGAGCTGATCATTCTGTCTTCCAGTGGAAATATGTACCTGACCGAAAGTTGAAGGACTCTCTTCATATAGCACCCCAAGGTAAATAACTCACAAAATAATTGGAGGAAGAGTGTTAATAAGGAAGTGAAGTTGGTTGGTGCAAATATAACTTAGAAGTCACCAGTTTCATGAATTTCTTTGAATTTTGCAGTTTTCATTGCACTCTGAATGCACTCTGAATGTACAGTCTATCAAGATTGTAAAAATAACACTGCATTCCCTGTGCAAGGATAATCTTAAAAAAGTTCTGATAGTCAATATGAATCTATCCATAGTGATATATCTTACTTCACTGAGCTGAGGAAGAGTGGAAAAGTTGATGTCACTGTGTTGATGCTGAGGGAAGATGCTATGTATTTGATTAAAGTTTTTGCTCAATTTTGGTGTATGTAAACATTTGATGTGTTAGTTTAACAATTGTTTTATATTTTTAAGCACACTGTCAGTACAGCGAAAGCAGAATGTAGATGTTTAATACTTCAAAATCTGTAGATCATATTTTAGCCATTGATGAATTTAGTTAATGCTAAAGGCTTTGTTCTACAAATATATGTTAAAATGCTGAACTCAAATGAAATGCATGCAAAATGAAATGATATGAAGTCAAATACATGTGAACTTCACAACAGAATTACTCATGTTGTCTTACGTCAATGTTCAGGGTTTTTTTTAATAGTATGTTATTATCTCTTTTTGAGTGATTTGAATGGGACATGGAGAATTTGCAGTTTGGGGTGTGTGTTATAAACTTAGAAAGAACTTTTTTTTCAGAATGTAATGATTTGATGTATGATGTTGGTTATGTGATTTGAGTTTTAGAACTGAATCGTTAAAAAAAAGATTCTTAAATAGATTCTTAAATAATCTTGAGAATTAAAATCCTTACATTGCCCATGAATTATAATCATATAATCATTAATATCTAAAGTAGACATTTTATAAATATTAGAATTTTTTAAAATTTAATACACAGATAATCAGATTTTATTTCCTGTTCTCAGGTTCACTGCTTGGGTTTTTATTCATGATTCTTACCTTAAAAAACTATTTTCTGCAAAAGTGTGATTGTCCATAATTATTCTGTAATCAAAGATAGAATATATTAATATTGGAGAGTGGTTCTTCCCGCCCCCCTTCCCCCCCGATTTGATTTTTGGGAAACTCAGTATCTGTGTTTCTTTTTGGAAATCCCTTTAGAAATATGCAATGGTTTTACAATAGGCTGGCTTTATGCGTTGTCATGCAAAACCGACACAAGTCTAATTATGGATTTTGGTGTGCATTTTCAGGAGAAAATATAATAATGGATAAGAAAGAATAATCTTTATAGTTGGAAAAGTGGGAGAAAATATAAAAGCAAAATGCTAGATATTATACAGAAAAATGTTCTTTACAAATAAAAAAGCATTACCTAGGAGAAGCAATTTAACTATTTAAAAAAAAAAATTGAGTAGTTAGTTTACATTAGTCTGAACATGTTAGAACCATCTTTCAGGTTAGAGAAATGTTCTCTCTAATTTTAATGCTATTTTTTTGACATAATGCCTCTTCAAAAACGTTATTGATTAAAACTCTGCATAAAATCTCACTCAGCCCGCATGTTTGTATATAAAGAGGAACTTTGGATGCAAGTGTGTAGCCCTAACTTACATACTGATATTTTTTATAATAATAATAGTAATTGCAAGCACAAGGCTACAGTTAAAATGAAATAAGTTATTTTGCCTTTTCATTAGTAGATTAATTGAAGATGTAGCAGTTTTCTTTGTTTCTCCGGATACACTGATTTTTTTTAAATTCCATTATCATTTCAGTATATGTCATATTTACCCATAATTCCTTTAATTGTTGCTCCAATTCTCTCAGCTCTATCAGTCCTTTTCCTGAATGTGACCATCAGAAGTGAGTTCTGATTTAGTACTGGACAAATCAGTGCCAAAGAAGAAGCAATAGTTCTCTACATCATCTTGAGATTCACCAGAAAGCCAGCTGATTTGGTCCTTCATGCTGGGAATGCATTTTCAGTCAATTATTTCCCATGACCCAAATTTCTCCTTAGCCACTGCTTCCCAAGATAAAATTCCCATACTGTAAGTGTAGTGTGCATTCCTTATTGGTAGGTATAAGACCTTATGTCAGGCTGCATGACATTATATATACCACTTACTAATAAATTGTATAGCTTGAGGGATTGCACTTTATTGCGTATTTCTACTGAATGATGATTCTCTGCTTGCAATTGTGTTATGACATCTTTTAAAATTCTCTTATGTTCTAGATAGACTTTTCTGTCCAGTTTCTTAATTGAAATATTACGCAAGACCAATTAATCAAGTATTGTAGAGATGTCCAAAACTATTACCATTTATCAATGAGGAGTATAATTTCATCAAAATGTAAAGTGCAATTAATCAAGCCCTGTTTTTATGGATCCTTTTTGATCAGCATTATGTGATTTCGTAACTTAAACTCTGTGCTAATCAATTTGCTTTGCAATCATTCAATTGTTAACATCCAAAATTGTTGACAATGACAGGTTGCTATTAAACCACAGTGGCTAAGCTCCTCACCTTTTTCTTCTTTCTATTTTTTATATATTTTCTTTCTCTTACTGTTTTAAATTTTCATAATTTAGAATTACCATAGTTAACAAGAAGTACAATCGATATCCAGACAAGTTGATTTCCAATTGACTAGCTCCAGTAGTTCTCTTTGAACATTCTTTTTAATTCCTACTGGAATGAAAAATGTGATTTTTTTTTTTTGGCTTTCTCACCTCTGTAAAACAAAAACATGAAGTAACTACTCTTTTTCTACAGTCACAGAAAATTTTGCTGTTTCTATCTTTTAAATATATATTACTTATGATTACTTTTTTCTTAATCTACTTCAATATTTTTTACATTTATCGCAGATCTTTGTTTCTGTTTTATACACATTACTTCAGTCTCTTCTTTCTTCCTTTTCTCTGAACGTTGATTGAAAACTAGCTTGCTCTCAAAAACAAACGCACACAAACTCCTGTATACTTTCAAGCTGGCTTCTCTGCAGTACCAGTGGAATTCAGGAAAGCCTCGTGTGATCCTGTCAAATGTTAGTAGTTAATTTTGTAGTCAATGTAAGCATTTGATAGTCTAATCAGAAACATTAAGTTGTTTTAAACACTTCTTGTGTTGTAATTAAGTTGTTCCTTCTGTTTTTCTTATTACAGAGAGTCTGGTTGATTCTAATAGTGATGAGTCAGATTCAGATCAGTCTGATGTTCCAGAGCTGGACTCTGAAATTGAGCAAGAGACCCAGATCACCTATCGTCGACAGGTAAATATTTTAGTTCTAATATGTTTTCCAGGGCTCAAGGAGATCTTTAATCAGCATCTCCTGAAGTCTGAAAAATTAGCAAAAGCTTCAGAAACACTGCTCTCTAAGTGTTCAAACACAACAGAAACAAAATGATCATGTGCACTCTTTAGAATTTTGGTTTCAGTTTCTAAATTATTTAAATTACAGTGTATTATAAAAGACTACAGCTTTTTTTTTTCATGGTAATGGCAGTACACATTTTTGAGTGTGATAAGTGGCTGAGTTCTCAGAAGCATACTTTTCTTGAGAATTTCTTAATTTATATGTATTACTCTTTCTTGAAGGTTTACAAAGAAGATCTACCTCAACTTAAAGAGCAATGCAAAGAAAAAAGAAAAAGTGCAGCTTCTAAGAGACGAGAGAGTGCTCCAGGGAACAGTATAAGATTGCATTTTGTTCATGGGTATGAAAAACAGAATTTTTTGAAATACACCAACACTGTACTGACCGATTTTATGTTTCATATGTTGTCATTTATGATTTAAGAGTCCGATGGAAGACTTTTTGTTGCTTTGTAAATTAACTTTTTCTTTGTTTATGAAAAAAAAAAGCTTATATTCAATTATTAGAAAACTTTGATGCCAAGGTAGACTAATTTTGAGTATGTATCCTAAAATGAATATGCTCTGAAATTTTAGTTGATGCTTATATTTGAATAATGGTCAATAAATACAATAATTGGCTTTCACCCAAATTTTTAAGTATCTGAAAAAATAACGTTATTGAAGCTTAAATAGAAACCTTGTCTACTAGAATATAACTTTTTTTTTTATACTTAGCAACTCTTCTATTACTATTTTGTATAAGCTCATTATTTGTCTTTAAATTGAAGGAACTTATAAATACCTTTTTGGTAGTAATTTTAAGAACCAAATAACTTCTTCAAGACCTTCTTCAAAGTCTCCTTGAAATCTTAAGATTTCTTCTTTAGTAGTAGACCACTTTCTAAAAGTGAAGACTTTCATCAAAACAAAGATATGTTATTTTAAAGTAAATTGACTATAGATGTTACAACATAAGAATAATGAAAAGAAGTATAAATTCCCATGATTAAAAAAAAAAAAAAAAAAAAAAGCAAAGCTGTTTGGGTAAGCAATTGGGTAATTCTGTGTACTCCTTTTAGACATACCTCTTTGCAGGAATTCAACTTACTTTGTAGAGTTAAATAAACACACAGATAAATTGCTGATGGTATTTTCTTCCTCTGTAGTGACATTGTTTTCTGAATCATCACTATAACATTTTTAGAAGGGTTCCAAATGGAATCCTTAATAAATTAATTGGCTAAGAATAGCTAATCATTCAACTTGGCAGTTTTGTCTGTAGAAAACACAAATTGGTGGAATGTTTTGTAAGTAATGACAAATGGGAAATGGCGTACAGAGCCCTTGATATATATTACTCTCTTTTGGTACTCGAGGATTCTCAATGGAAGATTTTGATACCTGTATAGAAAATGCCATAAGGTGCGTAGCTGTAATCTTTTAGATCTGAGCTAAGAATCAAACCAAACCATCCTGAGGCAGCTGTAGTGCAAGCAAGGGACCTGGATCTTTGGGATTATTGTTATTTCCTTCACAACAGAAGTGAAGCTTGACCAGAATATCCAGGAATGACAAGAAGTAGAATGTCCAGTTGAGTTGTGTCTGGTAACCCAGTGTGCATCAAGGAAACTAATGAAGAATCCATGCTGAACAACAGATTTTTCTCAATGCCCAACCTGTTAACTTTAAAGTGACCCACTTCCAAGTGAGTAATAGGCATATTCTCTGATTCAGGAAGTTTGCTTTGCTTCATCTTTTTTAGGTGGTATGGAAATGTCTTCGATGGTCCTTAAAAGTATAAAAAAGGATGCTTTTTTGAACTAGAAAAACAGGAAGCTCTTTTCTTTCTTTGTGAGCAAGTTGTTTTTGTGTTTCGAATTTGTGAACTGCCTTGAAAGTTGAACTTTTAAGAATTTTTTAATTTCCTCTAAGATATCTTTGAAGCCTCTGGTTATTTCCTGTTTTGGAAGAGCATAAGAACAGTGCTTAGCATGTGAAACAGCCACTGGTTAATATGGATGAAAAGACAAGTTTCCCCTATTACGTGCATCTTTCTCTAAGAAATGTGATGCTGTCACTATTAGGAACCGATTACCAATGTGATTTTCTAGTTTGATTTGTTTTTGCCAATTCCGATATTTCCCTTCGGCCTTGTCTTTGGCAGTAGTGGTGCAGAAACATAAATGGGGTCCATCTTCTGAGCTATTCCTTCCTTGGACCCAGTACTTGTAATGGGGAAGTTCCTAGGTTGACGTGTGAGAAAGGTAGGATGCGTTAGATGGCTTACAATTTGTTTGCTTGCAGCACTCGCTGAATATTGGTTTGGAAAACTTGGCAACTTTTTAATTTTAAGCAACCAGTTTCTAAAGGTGTTTCATAAATGGAGGAAATGAACTAAAATACGGACCTTGGTTATAAGGAGTTAGAGATATGAGTAATCAGAACTATTTTTCTATATCCTAGATACATTTGAGATTTTGTTTGTTTTGTTTTGTATTCCTGTGATACAGCATTAGCATGCACAATTTCACTTTGCTTTATTTAGAATATATAGACGATATAGACAGGAGTTAGGCAACTTCTGAATGTGTGAGTTGCGAGTAAAAGTCTTCAGACCCTTTTGCTCCCTTAATGTTTTTTATTTTTATGTATTACTGCTAAGTATCCTCAGCCTGCTAATTTTGCAGTCGCCATGTCCCATTTGGGTTTTTCAGAGAGTTTTTAAGAAATTGCTTGATAGTATTTTTAGTATTTCTAAAACATTTTGTTAGTCATGCATGTTTTTGTAGCCACTTTTTTACATCATGTCTATTCAGCATAGTTCTTAGGATTCTGTACTAGCAGAAGGTAATCCAATATTCTTAATGAAGCCAAGTGGACAGTGAAGCGTAGGAAAAGGATGTCGGAGGCGAGGAGGTCCAGATACCTGCATGGACACAGCGCTTGCAGGCCCTTCACTGAGTACTGTCACTTCCTTACATGGTTGGTGTTGCACACTGCAAGTGGATTATTTTAGTTTTATTTCTTCATAGCTACTGTAGGCCGTTGTGTGTTACGTCCCATGAAAAGGCCATGGAGGAACAGCAGAGAAGGTGACTGCCTGCTCATGGTGCCTGGCTGCTGCACGTTGTGCAGAAACCAGACAGAAATGGGCTTCTAGCCGGCTCACCTGCACAACTGGGGGCTTCCCCTGCTTGGGAAGGCCATACCTGTTAGGGAGAGTGAAGCATGGCTGGAGAGAGCACCTGTAGCATGAGTCTGAACGGCAGGTCAGTTTGAAGGAGATCAGACACGTAACTCAGCCTCAGAGCTGAAGGGCAGAGAGAGACACTTTTGTCAAGACCTGGTGGGGACCAGATGCTCAGGGGCATTGAAAGGCTGCCTGACCGGGGCCAAACCAAAGCTGTGTAGTGGTAACTATTCAGGAAAGTTTTGGTGATTCCTTAAAAGAGAATCTCCAATAGTAGACAGTAGTCTACTTCCTCAGTAAAGAAGAACTTCCTCTGTTCTTCCAGAAATAACTTACAACTTCTACTACTTACTGTCTCTCTTGTAACATAGAACACAGGTTTATTCACAGAAATTTCATATGAATTTTTTTCAACTTGAGTCTTAGGGGATTTGTGACTTCGTTTGGGTGTATAAATTCCTTTGGTAATGTTTGTTTTTGTTTTTTTTCAATAAAAATTTACAACTTTTTTTGAATTTTCATTTCCACAATGCTACCTGTAGAGCTACATCTTCATCTTATGTGACACCATAAAGAACTGCACTGTTAAAAGGAGATCTTGCATTTGTTTTCTGCTTAGATGTAATTTGTTCTGATGGTACATGATTTTAAGCAAGCAAAATAATTAATATCCTGAGAAGTATCTTGTAACACAGACATTAGAGATTTCTGTTAGTTTTGAATTGCAGATGCTGACTGATTAGTTGTGTTCTTTGCTGTGAATGACTTGCTAATCATCTTTGGCATTTTTTTTCAGTTTATTTTGTTAGTAGTTAAGTGCAGAAACACTCAGGTAGAACTTTATGATCCCTAAATCAGTATAATTCAAACACATTCAGGCATCTTCTACACATAATCATTCCTTTCCAGTAAGTGTAATTGTGCATTTAGAAATGTAATCAGAATTTGTTTGCATCTTTATGAAAATGTTGACTTTAGCAAAGATCTGTAAAGAAGTAGAACAGGAAGAAATTAAATAGGGAAGTAACTGCATAGAAACAGAATGCTTCATGAATTTATAGAGCCTTGTTTATATCACAAGAAAGAAAGAAACCAATTTAATTCATGCACTTTAAAATATTGCTTCCATTGAGGACTAGAACAGAATTCTCAAAAGTACCATTGAAAATCTTGTTTGTATGTTGATTTCTCTGTAGGTTTCTGAGCATCTTAAGTTACTTTTGAAAATATGACCCTGGTGTTTGACGCATCTCCCACCTGCTCCCCACCCCCGAGTTGTGATGAGACACTAAATGTTAATCATACGTAGGATGAAATATGTATGCATGCTGTGGCAATGCATAAGGACCTTAACTGGAAATTAGCCTGCTCATGCTATCTGAGAAAGGAGATAATTTCTTCAGAAAATAAATTGATTTAGAAAAAGGAGAAAAAAGAAAAAACTTTATCTTCCTGATAGGAAGTTTGCAGAAACCTTAAATTTCATGAAATCTGTTTTGACTTTTTTTTTCCTGTGGAAACTCTGTGGTTTCATTTTAGATAGGAGTAAAGAGATATCCAAAATTACTATTTTGAACATTTTCAAAATTGTATACATGTTGCTTGTCTGAATTTTGCATGTGATTTGGAAAAAGTGATAGCCGTGACATCCTTCTCCAAACTTGAGGGGAAGAGCAACTCTTAAATAGCAGCTATTTTCCTGCTAGTGGTACTGAGTTCTGAGCAATAGCTGAAAATGGTAAATTAGTATTAGGTTGGCAATATTTAAAAATATTTAAATATTAAGTTTAAAAAACTTAAAATAGCAACACAGTAATTGGTAAGTAATGTGAGCTTTTATATGTCCGCTGCATCTTGCGTATGTTTTTATCTTATTAAGTATTTACTGAATCTGATTGTGACTTTGATGTGCAATTTTTTTTTTCCTACAGTTACAGAGGTTACGACTGTCGAAGCAACTTATTTTACACCCAGACGGGTGAGATCGTGTACCACGTCGCGGCCGTCGGCGTGGTGTACAACCGGCAGCAGAACACGCAACGCTTCTATCTGGGCCATGACGATGACATCCTCTGCCTTGCGATTCATCCCTTAAAGGACTACGTGGCCACAGGCCAGGTAGGGTGCACGTTTGCTTCTCTGCAATGAGAATCTGCTGTGCCACATCAGATATGGAAACGTATATCTGGGGATAAGAGGCTCCAGTCTACATTTATTCAGTTAAGGAGAGTATTTCTTTTGCAGGTGGAAACATGGTAAGAACTGTAGCACATATATTTTTCCAGTTTATTTATGTTGATTCTGATAAGTGTCTTTGGCTGAAGGCTCTTTGCCTCTTCTTCATTTATGAAAAGATTTATGTTTTTATTTATATTGCTGCTGCAGGATTACAATTAGGAGGAAGTATGCAGCCAATTTTTAAAGATTTCTTAGTTATGAAATGAATCATAACTATGAGAATCTGTTAATCTTATATTCTGATATTCCAGTTTAGTGAGTTGTGTATTGGATTGCTGGTTATCATTTCTAGCCAAGCCATCTATGGTTTGTACATGCAGCACAGGTACAATAGTTATAGTTATAATAGTTATTTTTGACTTTTTTAGATAGTAATTTGAAGTAATTATTCCCTCTCTCATTTTCTGATAAAGAATTCTTCCTATAAATGTTTATATATCAGGACTTGTAGATTTGATTTGACATTTGAGCTTGAGCTGTTATTGTCATCGTCGTTGTTATAGATTGAAAATTGGAGAACCTCTGTACATAACTCTTTTTTTGCTGGTACTATTCATTGTATAAAAATGCTTAAGATAAATATAAATGTATTGGTTACTGTATGAATTAAAAACATAGATGTGAAAATGAGTTCAGTTTAATTTGGGGGTAATAGAGAACATGAATAAAAGGTGCAAGGATTTTCTATATTTTAAAGTACCTTCTATTGTCAAAAACACACTGATGAGGCAAAATAAAATTAGATAATGCGGTAGTCAAATTTTCTGTGCAAGGAGGACATTTGCATTTTACAACACAAGTTCAGATCCTCCTGAAAGTGGATGTTACAAAAAAACTTTACAAACACTACATACATCTGCGACAAAACCAGGATCAGCTTATCTTCAGTTCCACTCTTGTCTTCAACAATGAGGAATGATGTTCTGTTTTTGCAGTCCATCTTGTCCTGTAAATAATGGCTCACAATGTCTGTATGTTCCAACATTGCTGGAAAAGGATAAGCTGTGTTTTGTTCCTTCCTATCAGGTTAATTGAATTAGTGCCAGCCTACTGAAGACAACTCCGTAGGTGAAAGTTGCAATAGCATCCGAATTACAGAATCTTTGTTACTTGACATGACACCAGAAATAACAGAAGTCACCTTGATTTCTGAAGCATGGAGTAGCTTACAAACAATAAAAATAGCCTTTTATTTTTAGACAAGGAATGATTGATTGAGAAGTAGTTGGTGGAATAAATATGCCACAGTGCAATCAATGAAGTTTTTTCACAAGCTGAATCTATTGTAAGATTAGTTAATTGTAATTAATATGTCAAAGATCTTTGGAAGGAAGAAATGGCCACCTTTGGGCATGGTAGATGTGAGGTAGGAAAGGGAATAATATACTGTTAGCCGGAACAAATAATACTAGGAAGATCATCATGTGACTTTTTTCAAATACTTTTTGAAGTGTTTGTTAAAATGCAGTGTTTTTTTTTAAAGGTTAATTAACTGAAGTGAATATTAAATGGAAAAATGCTTATAACTATTCATATTTCCAGGTTGGTCGAGATTCCTCAATACACATTTGGGATACAGAAACAATAAAACCACTGTCAGTATTAAAGGGCTATCACCAATATGGTGTTTGCGCTGTTGATTTTTCAGGTAATAAGTATTTATTTATTTATTTACAATTTATTTATTTACAATTTTCCTTTTCTGTATGACAATGCAAACTACTCATTTCTTTTGAGGAAGTGGGAATTGCTTTGTGCTGTATTGAGGCTCTGAACCCTAGAGAGGGATCCTGTTGAGACTCTAATCTCCAATGTGATCTTGGAATGATCATTCCTTAAGCAGTGCTACTGTATAGTCTTGCATACTGTAAACCACAAGGAAAGGTTCTGTGCTGTGTGAGAGCTGAACACCTTTTCATGTGTTTCTTCTTTTCATGTGTTGGTCAGGCTTCCTGTTCTCAAATACTGCATCTGCATTAGTATTTTTTTCTTTTTTTAATTATTATTTTTTGTTTTTATTTTTGGAAAATAGTAACAATTGATCAGGTGTGTACTTTTATCCTGGAAACCTACCAAGTAGTACGCTGAGACATCCCGAAGTCCCACTATGAAGTCCTTCTGGGAAGGAGCTGAACCTCCTCTTTTTTCCTGCATCATACTGCAATAAGAGAATGCTAGTTAAATCTTTTGAGATTTCTCCACCATATGTTGAATTTCTGTCCCAGGTTAAACTTTTTCTCCTCCACTGGCCTCTGTACATTCTTTAATGATTTGATCTTCCTCTGATCTCATAAGTGAACGTATGTGACTGCAAAGAATAAGCAGTACTGGAGCTGAATGCTTCGGTGTTTCTTGCATTTCTTTGCTCTCCTTTTTAAAGACATTGTCCCAATGTCATTTCCCAATTTCTAGCATGAATGCTTAGCAATTTCAGACAAATATGTAGCAAAAAGATGTTATTCTGAAATATGCACAAATAATCTTTCTTGAAAATTCATATGGCACACATTCAGAGCTGCTGAAAGATTTTACTTTGTTACCAAACTTAGGACTATTTCATAAACTTCCAGAAATGGCTTTATTAATTTCCTTGTTAGAAATGAACTGAGATGCCCAGAGTGAACAGAGAATACACATGATACAACCCGTGTCGAAGGCTTTTGTGCAGCTGTGTCCACAACTGTCGGAACAAAGGATCTAATTCAGATCCAGAGGTTCTTAGTGCCATTTCCAGACAGGATAATTCAAATGTCTAAGAATGATAGTTGTGATAATGTTAAGTGTCTAGCGTGAGGTGTTTGCCAAGTCAATTCTTCATGGTTACATGGCATGTAGAGTTCTTAAAGAAAATCCTAAACTCCATCCAAATGACTGCTCTAATTTAAATCTAGCAAATGTCCCCTAAGCACACCATGTGATACTATTACTTATCTATTTTTAATATACGTTGTATATTGAAGTAGTATTTATGAAGTTATAATGTTCTTTAATCTAGCTGCTTATAATTGCGGCTTAATGTTATCTATCTACTCTCTTATCATAAATTTACTTTTCTAGCGGATGGGAAACGCCTGGCTTCTGTTGGAATAGATGACAACCATACTATTGTACTCTGGGATTGGAAGAAAGGAGAGAAACTTTCAGCAGTAAGGTAGGAATTTAAGTTCATTTTAAAATTTGTACCTAGATTTAGATTCAAAAGACAGTTAACAATATTAATTGAGGAACTATAGTTAGATAATTAATAAACTTGCTGGTCCCTTCACTTCTCAGTTTATATAGGCAATAGCTTTAGCACAGCCTTAAAACTTTCTTTTGGGAAAAAAATGAAAGTGCAATAGAGGCAATAGGAATTGCTGTGGCAGTTCATCTGCTGAGAGAAGACATAGAAAACAAATCACTTATATTTGTTTGATGTGCTCAGAAAATACACTTCAAAACCCTTTCCATACACTGGAAACCCTTTCCATACACTTCCATAGACTGGAAGTCTAACTGATACTATATATTTGTGGTTTAAGTATTTTAATTTTATTGTTTCCAAGAAAATGCCACCTAGTGGCTTTCTGAAGTAGCATAATCACATTCTTATTCTGGAAACGGAGGTGAATGAGAATAGAAGAGCATTCAGGATTTTAGTTTTGACTTTCCCTACTACTTCTCACTTAAAAGAAAAAAAAAAGAAGTTTTTCTTAGTGATATGGGCATAAACTTCAGCAAGATAGAGAAGGGATACATTATCAAGGTAAAAGATTGTGCATTTAAAATAGGAATAAATATATTTTTAATTAAAATAGTATATTTGCTTTGTATTTCAGGGGCAGTAAAGATAAGATTTTTGTTGTTAAGATTAATCCTTATATGCCTGATAAATTGATTACAGTTGGAATTAAGCACATGAAATTCTGGCGTAGAGCAGGTAAGGAAAAATATTTTTAATTTTTTCATGATAATAGCTTTTTTCTTCTGTTATTTGAAGTTAAAATACAGCATCTGTTTTGGTGTGTATCATACATTATAGGGAGACACTTTCTATTAGTTAGCTTTGCCCACGTTCTATTCAGAGTAACATGAACTGCAAGTAAAAAAGGTCATATTTTTTCTACTGTTTATTTTTATATATAATAATAATCTCACACATCTCAAAATGCTGCAGAGCTGCTCTAAAATAATAAAACAAATTTTGGGAGAAGGACAGTTTGAGTGTGTATATCAAAAAGAATAAAAAGTATAAATAAATCTAAGGTGATAGAAGTCCTCAAAAAGAAATTCAGACAAAGTAATTTAAGTGAGTTCATCTGCAGTGATTAGAACCTATTTATTTAAAAATGAAGACGAGCAGCCTGCTTTATCTGCCTGAAAAATTTTGCTTTAGTGCAGTAAGAGAAGCTATTCCCCAGTGTTAGGCTGAACTTCATTGTATTGAATCTCAAAAAGCACATCAGCCCAGATGAGTCTCTGCTAAAGCATTTTTTTGTGAGGAAGGTCTCTGAGGAAAATAGTGCCATTAATTTTCATATTTAAAGGCTCCAGTAGAAATCAGCAACAATTACCTGAGGGCGAGTTGCTGAAGTCTATATCAGTTATTATGTTACAAAAAATATTTACTGGAGAATTACCATAAAATGTTTGGGAGGAGAATTACTGTAAATCGCTTAGAATGAGGCCTTAAGAAGGAAGTCTTAACTATGAAAATAAGACTGTAGTGATTGTGCATTGGAAAAAAAAAAAAAAAAAAAAAAAAAAAAAAAAAAAAAAAAACACGTTAGCAGACAGATTTGTATAATGCTAAAGCCCTGTGTGTGCAGAACAGAAACAGGTCCAGTGATGAGGCAGTCACTGCGAAATTACCCCTAGCAGTGTCATCACAAGGGGTGGAATTGGTCCCCTTAACGAGCCCTGGAAGAGGTCTGCACTAGAGCAAGTGCACCTGAGGTGAGAAGTGACACTGGTGGGTGCCCTTGGGACTGAATTTAATCACTTTCAGTGATGACAGAGAAGCCAAGAAACTGCAGTGTGTGTAGGAGAATGAGATGAAATTTTAGATCCTGAGGTGATTCTGTTTTATATAACACATGAAGTCTCTCTGAGAATCCTGAAAATCTAAATCTGGCTTCCTACCCAGAAATTACTATGTGTTATACGTGTCAAATTATTTTAGAATATCGTGGTGTTATAAGGAATTCTAAAGCTTGCACAGTAGATACATTTTTATCACCTAGACATCTATATAGCAACTCTTTAAATTAAAATTAGAAATCTTGCCACTGAAAGCATAGTATGACAAGAAAGGGATGTGAACATTGTTGTTTTTCAAGTTCATTCCACTAGGAATTTCTCTGAAAAATCTTAATTCTGGAAATTTCTCTGGAAGTGTGGTGAAATTTTTGTGTGTGTGTGTGTTTTTTAAATCTTAGTTTATGGATACACTTTCTCTTTATATTATGTCTATTTGGATTTGTGCACATATTCAAATCCAATTCAACTAGTAAGTTAAAAGCAAGACTTTATCTTGAAAAGTGTCAAATAAGTGTTTCGTGAGAAATCTTTTCAAGTTTTATTTTGAGAGAAGTATGAGTTAACTAGAAGAAGAAAAAAGACTTTGCTCTAAGTAAAGTTGTTTTTATAGATTTTGTTTGAAAATAATTGCAAGCAAATAATTGATGACTTTCTTTTTTGTTTTAAACTAGGAGGAGGACTCATAGGGAGAAAGGGCTGCATTGGGGCAATGGGAAGAAGTGACACTATGATGTGTGCAGTGTATGGCTGGACTGAAGAGATGTCCTTCTCTGGGACTTCCACGGGGGATGTGTGCATTTGGAGAGACGTATTTCTCATAAAAACTGTCAAAGCACATGATGGTCCTGTGTTCAGCATGCATGCATTAGAAAAAGTAAGTGAACTGAGAGGATATTACGTAAGACCTAATTTAGATTTAAGAAATGACTTTTTTTTTCTTTTGCTAATTGTAACAGAAATGAAGCCATTCATTATACTGAATTGTGGTGTTCAAGTTACCTCTCTTCAAAAATAATTCACAATTCAGAAAGAATTCTCTTAGAAGCAGGAAGATATGCATTCATTGTTGTGCTATTGTAGTGCTTTGAGTAGATGTGCCTTTTTTGTGCTATGCCACTTAACTTGGAGTCCCCACTGACTGTGATACTCTGAGGATGACAGTGAGGGGGGGGAAAAAGAAGTGCATGGCCTTTTGTGTCTGAGATTTTTGCAAGGAACCCTCTGCAAAGGAGAATTCTGTTACGCTACATGAACCTGCCATACTTCTTACTACAAGATGGTTTGTGTGGAGCACGGCCGGCCTAGCAGATGGATGTCTGAGATTTAGTTTGCTCGAGCTCACTTGGTAACTTCAGGGATGCTTTTTAACCAGAATAATTAGAATATTCTAAAAATTGATCATCTTTTAAGTTTGGGTAATAATGTAAGTTATTGTGCTGTAGTGAGTTGTTGCAGCATGACCATTTTTAACTTATCTGTAAATTCTTAATTTGAGCTAACCTTCCTAAGTGAAAAACAATAAATCACACTGGTAACATTAAGAGCTTGTATGTGAACGGTCACTGGGGATGAGATCGTGGTATTTGATATATCTGTATGTATGTTAAAAATAAAGGAGAAATGGCTCATTTTATTCCTGATTTTTTTCATCTTGAACATCTGTAGTTCAATGACATATAATTACATACATTGCATATAATTACATGTCATCCATTGTCAGTATTGGCAGAAATCACTGCAAAAATAAGTAAAAATAATGAAATCATACTAACTTATTTATCTATTTATTTATTTATTTTGTCAGGGATTTGTCACTGGTGGAAAGGATGGGGTAGTAGCTCTCTGGGACGATACCTTTGAGCGCTGTCTCAAAACCTACGCCATCAAAAGGGCTGCTTTGGCGCCTGGGTCTAAAGGTAGAACATCTGACTTCTCTTTCTCTTATAATACTGTTTAAAATACTTTCCTCTTTTTATGGAATTGCCTTGGCAATCCAGATTTGTCATGATAAATACTAAAAGAATTTTGGTTAAAGCTTTATTCAGTCCAAATAAGTCATATTTCTGTGATGTGTGTGGGAGGGGAACATCACATAATGGTAGTTTGGTTGTACATTTGATAGGGGCAGATCTTCAGTTTTAATCTGCCCAAATGAGGTGATTTAAACCGGACTTAATTATATTCAATTCTTTAAGTTTTTAAAGTGACAATAAAGCTTCCTGATTAGAAACATAACAGAGTTTATCTGTTCTGTCCTGTTTTTTTAAGGAGTAGTCTACAAAAGGAATAGAATTTAGAACTGTGGTTACTTTTATAAGGCATTAGTGCATTTGGTGACTTCTTGTTCTGTAAATGCATATCTGTGCTGAAATAATTCCTGAACACTCCTTCCTGTTACTCCCATTTATTATTGGTTTTACTGCTTATATAGTTTTTCCTATTTGACATTCTGAATAGTTTTCTTGCTCTTCTCCCTCTCTCTTAAAATTACATTTCATGTATATGATAAATGGTATTGAACACGAGCAATATAACTGTTGCATGTTCTTTCACTAAGTTTGCCAATGAATCAGATTGATTAAATTTCAGAGATAATCTGTTGAGCAGAAAAATCATTAGCAATTGCTTGGTGTAAGAGCTTCATTATGCGGAAAAAGAATTTATTTGCTAAATAGCCCCAAATTCTTACATGCCAGAATGTATTTTTAATTTTTTCATACTGCGTATTGTTTTCTAAAGTAAGAATGTAATGCATATGTGCTGAATAATCCTCAGCTAATGCACACTTGCAAATCTTCTGTCTTTTCACATTTCAATAGGTCTCCTCTTAGAAGATAATCCTTCTATACGTGCCATATCTTTAGGACATGGTCATATTTTAGTGGGCACAAAGAATGGTGAAATATTGGAGGTGGATAAAAGTGGACCAATAACACTGCTGGTTCAGGTACCTGTTAAATGACAATTAATTAATTAAATACTCCATGCTACAATTATTATTTTAGTTTTCAAGTGAAGAGTGTTGTAAATTAATAATTTAATTGCTGGCAAAGGTAGTTGTTAAAGTTGCTTCATAGTGTTTTTTTTTTTTTTAATTAAGGCTAGAATAGACTTGTCTCTAAACAAAACATAGGGCTCAGTTTTTCATGTAGTAATTTGCTCTGGCTATTAATCACTTCTTTTGCTTTAGAAGTGATCTTTTTTAGGTTTATTTTCATTTTTTTCTTTGTACCTATTTAAAAAAAAACTTCAGTTTTCCCTCTGCTAACTAAATATACTAAATAAAATACAATTTTCACAAAATAATATCATCATATGACTTCCTTTAGTATTTAAGTAAAATTTTTTAAAGGTTTAACTCATTTATGAGTGGTCATTGTAGTGTGTAAATAAATGGATTTTTAAAGCATATATTATAACCTTAGTTAAATGCCTGTGAAAGTTATTTCACAGAGAATAATTTTCTGTAGGACTAATTAGTATAATTAAGAGCATTAGTGTAGGACTTTTTTTCTTTTTTTTTTAATTGCTTCTTTGTTTCTTTGCTTTTACTTGGAAGTATTTTTGTTATTCTGCAAAGATTTGTATGTTCTCATTATAGTTTTCCTTATTTCTTCCTTTTAGGATTTTTTCCCTAATTTTTAATATGAAATTATCTGTTTTATTTTTTTTTTTTTAGGGTCACATGGAGGGGGAAGTTTGGGGTCTAGCTACTCATCCTCATTTACCTATTTGTGCCACTGTAAGTGATGACAAAACCTTAAGAATATGGGATTTATCTCCTAGCCATTGTATGTTAGCTGTTCGCAAATTGAAGAAGGGTAAGATACTTGGTATGAAAAAAAGATTTAACTGAATTCATTTGACATTTACCAGCATTGTAAATCTTGTAAAAGCAATAATATGAAGGAATTCCTTTCTTCACTCATTTTATTGGTATTCTATTCAAGTGTGTTATTTAGCCCTCCTGCAAAAAAAATCTGTACAGAAGATTTGTGTGTAATGTTGCTCAAGATTATGTGCAATCATAACATATTTAAATCGGTGAATTTTTACAAATGCACTGAATACTGTATTCAGTGAATACATAAAAATAGAAGTATTAACATAATTCTGCCATCTTGCATGTAGTATTGCAAACATTTTTAACAGTGGGTGAAACCCAGACGTTTTTGGAAGGAAGATCAAACTGTTATGTGAACTAGATTGCTTGGTTGGAACATTGGAGTGAAGTAATTTTCAAAATCTAGGCCGAATTATCTTAATTCTGGTGTATTTTGCCTTTGTCTTGGTAGTTTGCCTGGTTGGGTTTGCCTCAGCTTTGGAGGCTGAGCTGATGTTTTACTTCACTTTGCCTTAGCAATCAGTTTTCTTTTCACCTTTGTTATGTATCGGGCCTGGCATTTGTGCAGGGTGGGTTTGTATTCGTGTTTATGGGAGCTGTTTTAGTCTATTACCTTAAACAGCTGACTTAAGGAAACTGAGAGATTAGGGTAGCGCACAACTTCTAGAAGGTCCAGCAGAGAGCAACCAAGATGATTAAGGGAATGGAATATCTTTTGTATGAGGAAAGACTAAGTGAGCTGGGCCTGCTTAGCCTGGAGAAGAGAAGGTTGAGAGGGGATCTGATCAATATGTACAAATACCTGAGTGGAGAATGTAGGGAGCAAGGGACCAAACTCTTCTCAGTGGTGGCCAGTGTCAAGACAAGGGGTAATGGATATAAGTTGAAACACAGGAAGATCCATCTCCACGTCAAGAACAACTTCTTCACTTATTTTTTTTTTTTTTTTCTCCCTCCCCCCAGGACATGCTAAAGTATTTAGTTAATTAAAAGGTCAGAATACTTCTGGTTTACACTTCTCATCCGTGTTCAGTTGGAATTAAAGCTGAAGATAATTATACCTGTAGGATAGATAAGGATGGAATCAGCGTAGCAAAGTAAAGGATTACTATCTATAAGTTATAGACAGTAATATAGTCTATAACTATAGTCTATAAGTTAATCAGAGGAAAAGTAGTAGGGAAAATATTTAAACTAATGGGAAATCCCAAATGGGGGAAAAAAATGTGTATAAACTGGTTACAAATGCATTTAGGTTCAAAACTGAACTTTTTCAAGTGAATATTGACATGCGTATTAGAAATACTATGTGTCAGAGTGACCATGATAGCAAACAAGTGGATTCACTGAGTCAAGAAGGCCTTTTCCAACTGTGTGTTTATTAATAGGGCACATGGCAGCAAACACCTGGGATCAGATACTTACAAGGAGAGCAAATTAGAAATATAAAGGAAATAGTGATTATTAATCACCGAACGGTTAAGGTTGGAAGGGACCTCTGGAGATGATCTAGTCCAACCTCCCTGCTCCAGCAGGGACACCTAGAGCTACTGAGGAATAAATGTTGATTAATGGGCTTATAAATCTAATGAAGATGTTTTTCTTATGTGTGGATGTATATATTTATACACTGTGTGTATACATATACGCACACACACGCGCGCGCGCACACACACACACACATTATATATGTATATATATGTATGTACGTATATTTGTTGATTTACCAGTAGCTTCTGTGGACTTTTACAATGTAGAACTTGGAAGTGATCTTGGTAGCATGGTATGTTTCATTCATCTGTAGACGGTATGAAACACTATTTCTTTAATAATGTAGAAGTATTATCTAAAAGAGGGACTGTTTATTGTAAATGAACCTGAATGTCATATTTCCTTCCTTATAGGAGGCAGATGTTGCTGCTTTTCTCCTGATGGGAAGGGATTGGCTGTAGGTCTCAATGATGGAAGTTTTTTGATAGTTAATGCAGATACTCTAGAGGATCTAGTCTCCTTTCACCACAGGAAAGATGTTATTTCAGAGATCCGATTTTCTCCTGGTAAGTGATATAAAATTAAGATTTTTCCTATCCAGATTTTTTAAGCAAACTTTATGTTCATTGTTGATCATGAGGATGTGCATTGTGAATATTGGGTACTTCATTAAAAATATTCTAGCCTTATTCTGTGGCTGCCTCAAATGGGCTAATAAAATGCGTTAAAGATAGGGCATGATGCAAATACGTAGTTCTGATGAAGTGTCTTTCTTCACTTATTCTATGGGGAAAAAGAAACAAAATATAACCACAATAATCCAAATCATATTCTTACCATTGTAAGAGTAAGAATACTCTTCTTGTGTTTTCCAGATACTCTTTAAAACATTAAGGGAGCGATTTGTAATACTCGTTTACTCGTAAAAAAAGAATAAAATTAATATTCATGTTTCAAATGTTATTGGCATTAAAGTTGCATATTATTTGTTTAAGGGCAAGATTACCAGGATAGACTCACTCAAAGTAATCTCCTAAAATCAACAGTCGAATTTTAAATCGACATCCAACAACTTCCCTGATGGTGCTGTTCTGCAGTATGAACCATGTATCATTTTGGCCCTTCATTTAGATTATTTTTGGCTAATAAGAATGTTTGAAATAGAGATACCAGAATATCGTATTGCCATTTCCTTTTTTCCCCCCTCTACAGTGCTTAGCAACACCAGCAATACCATTTTTTTTACCAGTTAAACTCTTAGTAGGGGATTTACGTATGTGGCTTAAGTTGTTGGTGTTACTTCAGTGAAAATATTCCTCTGTAGTCAAAATATGATGTGAATAACTGATATAAATCCTCATGCAACATTGATTACCTGAGCCTTGCCACTCAGTGCAAGAAATGCCCTCACAGTGCAAGAAATGATTTAAACTTTCATCTAATAAATTATTTTTTCAGTAATAAGATATTACTGTAATTTGATAGATAAAAAACACCAAAATTTTATTCTTACAGGATAGGAACACATCTGCCAGAGGCTATGTATGAATTGCCAAACTTATTTCAAAGAAAGCTAAGTTGAATATAGCTAGGCTCTCCAAAGTAATTTAATATTACTAAAAACATTAAGAAAATTCCTTGTGTTTTTTACTGATGTATTTTAGGGGCTGGAAAGTACTTAGCTGTGGCATCGTGTGACAACTTTGTAGATATTTATAATGTAATGAGCAGTAAGCGAGTCGGAATCTGCAAGGGAGCCTCTAGCTATATAACACACATGGACTGGGATGTAAGAGGTAAAGAGCATTTATCTGAATTCTAAAAATCTACTTGATTATGGACTGAATCACTGTAAATTACATCTGGAGCATGAATTTGTGGTGCCGTTGATACATTCCTGCAGCTTAAAAAGATATCCTCTTGTATAATGCAGCAAATGTAATTGTATCAGTAGCTCAGGAATTAGGTATCCTTGCATATTGACCAAAATGGAAGGAAGACTGTCTTTGCTACTTTATTCTTGGATATTAATGTACAGTCATTTTAAACACTAATTTTAGTGCTGTTTTATGTAAAAACAAGGCTGCATGACTGTCCATTTCAAAATAAACCTGGAAGAGTGATAGAAATTAAGTTTGAGAATTTTGAAAATGGGAAGAAATCAAAAACCTTAATAAGAATCCTTCTCAGGAACAAATTATACAGGCAAGTAGAACTCAGTTCTTTGGAAACAGCCTGTGGCCACCTGGAATTTGTGGTTTTTTTCAAGCCAAAGAGCAAATCCAGGGAGCACAGATGAGCTCTGAATTGCACTCAGTGTATGGTGTCTACCATCTGATAGGACTATCCTAAATAATAGGAGAATGTGCTGCATTGTGGAAGTTTTCAGAGAGAGAAGGAAGGAATGTAAATGTAAGGGATCAAAAGACTCAGATCTTCAGAAAAACAGGCTTCTAGTTTCACTGTTTATATATGCAACAGCTTGTTAAATGGAAACAGTTTGTGGAATGTTGTTAGCAAAAAAGAATCATAACAAAGTGTTTTGTTTTAGTTTAGTAAAATGTAATGTTCTAATTAATTTAATATGTAACACCCTTTATAGGTAAACTTTTACAAGTCAACACTGGTGCTAAAGAGCAGTTGTTTTTTGAAGCTCCTCGTGGAAAGAAACAGACAATTCCTAGTTTGGAGGTGAGGAAACCATCTGCTATCTTTTGTTTTCTGACTTTGGTTATGGTTTAACAGGCTTTGTCATGTAATAGAGAATGATACTCAAAATTATAACTGTTCTTTTCAAATATATTCTCTCTGAGCATTTGCTGTTCTTTGTCCTTTTTTAGCAGTCTATTCAGATAATGTCACAAGGATGATTAACCTTGTTTCTGGAGTACTCATGTCTCATTATATCATAATGCAGTAAAGTATACTTAGTGTATATAGAGACAAAAGTAGCTTATAGAGACAAAAGTAGCTGTAATATTGTTTTTGCAATATCAGAGGACTAATATTAGGGCAAAGTGAATATGGATGATACTCAAAATAATGCATTGTGTAAGGCTGAAAAATATTTGTTTTCTTTAGCTTTGAAGGGTAGGTAATGTCAAAAGTCATTTTAAATACTTCTAGAGACTTTGAAAGTAGAAGTTAATAGGGATTAAATCAATGTCTCAAATGAAATCTGAAAGAGTAATAACATGATATTTTGGATGACATTTTACAATCCAAGGATTTTTTCTTGAAATCAGTTATGGGAGAAAACTGCCTGGGAAAACGTGCTCTGTCTCAAACAGATTGTTTTTGTAGGTAGAAAAGATTGGCTGGGCATCCTGGACAAGTGTTCTGGGCTCCTGTTGTGAAGGAATTTGGCCAATAATCGGTGAAGTCACAGATGTAACTTCTTCCTGCCTCACTAGTGATAGTAAAGTGTTAGCTACAGGAGATGATTTTGGATTTGTGAAACTGTTTCGGTACCCTGCTAAAGTAAGTAACTTTCAGCTGTGTGAGTGAGAACATTGGTTAATAAAGTTGTAGAAAATTACCACTATAAACAAAGTACTGTTTGTAAACTTTTGTTCTTTTGCTCAAAGAATGCATTAAGTATTCTACTGCAGTTTGCAGTGGATTAAACTTTTGGTTAATAACAATGACCGTTCCAGCTTTGACTAGAGATCTGTCTTGTCTAGTGTCCTGTCCAGTGACAAATGTCTTTCCCACTGCACTTTTCCTGAGGCATCTAGTGATATTACACCAGACTGTAAGCATTATGTGAGTCAGGCAATTATTAAAAATGTTTTAGATATTCATGTGCTCAATGTAGATTTATTAATGTAGTTTTTGGCCTCCTTCACTCTTTTTTTTCCTTTTTTTTTTTTTTTTTTTTTGGTAAGACAATGAACGATTCTTCCTTATTTCTTCACTTATTTTGTAGACCTCCATTCTGTCTGCCTCAGTTGTCTTCTTCCAAGATGAATAACTTTAATATTTTCTGATCATGCAAAGCGCATTCTTCTTGTTGCTCTTCTAGGACCTTTCTACTTCTCTTGTGCATTTGTCAGTGAATATTTTCTGAATATTTATTATGTCATTGATGTCAGCAATGTAAAGATCCGAAATACTTCGGGTGCATTTTATTCTTAATCTGTTAGATTTTATTATATTTTTAATGAAAAAGAGTCCAGTGTTTATTGCTGGAATCCATTTTAAAGCAGATTCTTATGTGATCAATCAGTTAAGTGTTGACTTGCTTCAAATTACAGCAGTTTTTTCATCTGAAGTGTTTTCTTCTTGGTGGGAAAAAAAAAATCTGATCCCACTGGTGGAAAAATGCTTAACATTTCATGAAGTTGCTATAGGAGAAAAATTTGGCAAATTGTGTAATAGATCCGAATGCAAAACACCTAAAGCATAAAGTGTGAAGACATTAAGAATGTGCACTGGTAACACAATTCTGTTTTATCAAGAACACTGGTTAATTTTTGCTATGTGTCTTTTTCCGCCTCTCCTTTCTTAGGGAAAGTTTGGAAAATTTAAGAGGTATGTGGCCCACAGTACCCATGTAACAAATGTCCGTTGGACCTATGATGACAGTTTGTTGGTTACTGTTGGAGGAGCAGACACCTCTTTAATGCTGTGGACTTATGAGATGGAAGGACATCGGGATAGCAGGCAGTGTGACAGTGAAGAGTCTGATCTAGATTCGGAAGAAGATGGGGGTCAGTAATAATTTATAAAACCGCCTGGATTATCCTGACTTCAGAAAACTGTTTTATTTGTTAATGGAAAGCTGGTAATATGGACATAATAAAGCTACACATATAATTGCTTTAAACATTTCAAATACATTAATTAAATTCCCTGTTTGAAGAAAGGACCAAAACACTGTTGTAAAGAAAATGAAAATGGATTGCTTCACTTAATGTTTTGGGTTAGAATATATGAAAAGAATCTTTACATTTTTAAAATGAAAAAAACCCACTTCCTTGCCAATTAAATGTGACTTCCAGAAATCTATAGAAAAGTAAATTCATGGCATTTTTGATTATGGCATTATTAATATGAAATTATGTTGAAATCTGTGCCATATGAGAACATAATTATCTTGTGATATCATAGCAGACCAAAGTCAACTGTTCTTCATATCATACAACAAGGTGTTGCAATATTATAAAATTAATAATATTATAAAGTATTAATTATACTTCATAGAATTAAGTTGTGTTGTTTTTGACATGCTTAATTTTTCCTTTAATGTTATATTTATATTTATATTTAATGTTATAAATCCATGACTTCCTGTGCCCAAAATCTTCCTAAAGAATTACATTTCTGTTCCAATTTTTTCTTCCTTATTTTAATCATAGTCTTCAAGTATTTGAAAATTATTTCAGCTAAATTATAAATATGATGTACAGTAAGTTTTACGTCATTTTTCTCTGAAATCTGTTAGATGACAAAGAGACATCTTAGATATATTACAACATTATTATTATTAAAGCATATCAAATATTGGAGAAATTAAGCATTCATTGGAGGAGATTTTTTAATGCACTATCTTACTGCTTAAAGTATTAAAGGCTGCATCAACAAAAGAATGCGATTACCCACAGGGGAACTTAGTTAACTTCAGCCACTTGAATCAAGAATTACAATCTGGACAACTCTTGCTCAGCTTCTACCCGTGGGCTGTTAGCACGTCTTTGCCATGTTTACTGTAATAAGGGTCATACTGATGTGCTTGACTCTAAACGTTATATAGGCACTAGGTATAGCGCTATGGATACCATTGAAAAGTTGTCATTTAAAAAGTGGATCCTGAAACTGAGCACAACTGGGTGCCCAACTTTCCAGAGTTTAACCGCAGCTCCCATGTCGTGAGGTGCTTTGCAAAGATTGAGTTAAAGCCAGCTGAGGAGAATGGGGTAGCTTTGAATGCCCCTTCCATCTTCCCTGATAGTCTTTTTCCAATTTTAAAAGATGATATAGAGGGTATTCTGTTGTGTTCTGATTGTTTTCTTAGAATCCTTTCTGGAGGGCTGATCATTCCCATTTACTTCCTTTCAGTTGTGCTTTTATGCTATTAATGATGCACGCTGTAGTTGTTCTTGTTGTGCAATACTTTAGTGAGAGATGCACAAATTTATTTCTTATTTTTTTATATCTCGTTTTGCTTTAATACTGTTCTCCCTGTGATTTTTATTAGGCTATGACAGTGATGTGACAAGGGAAAATGAAATTAATTACACCATCAAAGCCTTATCAACAAACATTAGGCCAATGTTTGGAATTAAGCCTCATCTGCAACAAAAGGAGCCAACATTAGATGAAAGGTAATTGCTCATTTACAGTTTTACTAAGGAAAAGAAAAACAATCTCTGAAGATGATTAATAATAAACTTTAATTATCTTTGAACATATATACAAATAAAAAGGATGTGCGTGTAAAAAAGGGGGGGGTATGCATTATAAAAAGAGAAAAAAGAGAAGATTGTCTACCAAATGTCTTGCCTTCAGGGACAGGCTACATCCTTTTTATGTTGGAGAACAGAATACTACCACTGAAGTATTTATTTTATGTTTGGAGAATTTCTTAAGATAATTGAGTTATTTGCCATTGTTCAAAAGTATCAAAATGTTCAAAAATGTTATTTTTGGAACTTTTTGTTGCCTATTGGTAACTAGTGGTGACATTATAGTCATTGGCACCTACAATTATTTTATTGTAAGGTAGCTCTCAGTTCTAGGTGGCTTTGCCCAACTGTAACAAATTGATCTGAAACTACCTCATGTGTTGTTTCCCTGTCCAGATAACTTTCTCATCTGAAACTTTCTGTCCACAGAAGTACTTTTCAGTTTTCAATGCATGATCCTCACAAAAAGTATATTCTGTATGTTAAATGTATGTGGTATCAACAGTTCATGGTTTATTTTTATTTATTTATTTATTAAATGAAACTAAGCCTTCTGGATTTCTTTCAATAATTCTGTTCTGATTAGTTGAGTTTCTGATAGTTGAGTTACATTTTTCTGCTTCAAATAGAATGTTAAAGTAAATTCTCTAGTAAGGTAACTAATTTCTGATTCAGAATGTAAAAGTTGATGAAGGAACTCCGTTGCCTTCATTGTTGGGAAAGGGTCTGAAAGTTCGGAGACATAAAACTTCAAGTGGAGGTAAAGAGAATTTTTTTGAAGAGTGAAACCAAAATATATTAACTGTATGCATCGTAACCTCTGGTGTAATTAAGTTAATATTGTGCACGGCTGATAAAGGTTTTAGTAGGTCTACTTTTACAGACACTAATTTTTAAAAAATTTTATTTTCTTCCTTTTTGCTTCATATGAAGGCAGGGGGTAGTGAGGTAAGTTTATTTTCACAAAGTGAAGGATCAACCATCTTTTGATAACTGAATTGCTTGAAAGAGTATTTTGAAATAGATGTGAATATTTTAACAATTTAGTGATAAATAATTCAGTAGGTTGTTACCTAGTAGAAAAGAATATGAATGGACAAAGTCCAGTACACAGCCAGTAGATGGAATGGACACTAAATAATATGTATGAGAGGAGCAGATCGGAGCTTACCTTGTGTTTTCTGATGTTTTGGAGCGTCTCTGGAACAGCTTGACACAAGCAGACGTCTAACAGCAAAACAAACTTCTTGGGGACTTACGTATGACATTGTTTACACTTATAGAGGTTATGGAGGTCCAAAATAGAATAAAAAAGTACATTTCTGTTAAAGCTCTGCAGAAAAGAGCAAAAGTATTATGCAGTCAGGAAGAGAGCGTGCGCAGAAACAGACTACAACATTTTTCAACCTGGTTGATGGGGAGATTCTTTGTGGAGGAGTGAATTAGGGCTTTTGCTTCTAGTCCTTCCAGTGACCTTTCATCCCAAAATGGAAATGTAATTCCTGGAATATGCATCTGAATAAAGTGTTATTTTTGCTCTCTGAAGCTATTATTCTAGTCTCAGTTTTTGGAGAAGTGATAATTCTTCTTCAATAATAGCAGAAGGCAAATGAGATTTAGGACTCTCCATTGCCACAGCAGTTTCACTAGGAGAAAAAGACAGTGCTTTAGCACACCCACTTGGATGTGTATTTGAATTGGCTCTCATCTCTAAGCAACAGTCCCTTTTTTTTTGTTTGTGTCTTCAGACAAAACATAATGTTGCCACTTTTGTGGGAGGGTAAGGGGAGGTACTCATTATGGCAGGGATATTATCAATGCAATTCATTAGAAAATCATGTAAATATTTTTGAAGCCTTAAATGTTTAGGTCTGTTTGCTGCTTGAGACAACCAGAAGAGAAGTTGTAGAAAGGCATTTAAAGATGAGTGGAAGAAATAGCTGTTGCTACACACCAGGCCCCAAGTTCCACACAGGGCTATTTGTAGTCTTATTGTATAGCTTACATGACTAAAAGCAACAACTGAGTTAAGTTACGTTATCTTATGCTGTATAAGAGAGCACACGTGTCCAGGAAATGCTGGCTGTAAAATTATTCTACATTATTCCAGTGCAGCCCACTGATGATGAGAATGAAGAGAATTATTGATAGCATTACAGAGGTACTGCTGAATCTGTTAGATAGCAAGGAAAAATGCGACTGGAAGATCTACAGGTTGAATTAGCCTGAAGTCTATTTCAGCCTACTTAGCTTGACGTATCTTAGATTATCACTTCTGTCCTTGCAATACAGTTAGCAAAGATGCCTAAAGTGGCAAATATACCAACACTTCATCGGTAAACGCTTTTGAGATGATTTTTTTCTTACTCTATAGATTTTTACAAATATTTTTGTTTGAAAACTTATTTTTATTTGTTCATGTAGGTTTTTATAAATTTTTTTTCAGTTTATTGGAAGTTTCCCAATGAAAGAATGATGACAGGAGAGACATTCTGTCCAAGTCTGAAATATAAATCAGCATTACATGATGTAATGATCCAAAAATATCATCAGATGGTTGGCTTGAATTAAAAGATTCTGAATTTAACATCTAACTCCCTTGAGGAAGTGAGAGAGGATAACCTTTGAAAATAAGACATGATAGCGCTATAGCAATTGACTTAATAGAAATTCACTGAAATCTTAAATTTTAGTCTTTTTAAAAATTGGGTGTTAGAATTTAAGTTTTCACTCAAATTCATATCTGTTTTAAGGATCTCTTGTATTGTTTAGGGTCACCTCTACATTTCCCAGTGAAGTAGTAATGCCATAATACATCTTTGGTATTGGAATATTTGAATTTCTATAAAAAAGATGAAATAGTGTTGACTGTTGTAGATAAGCATCGCTTTTCTACTTTGAATTCTTTGTATATCTGAAAAACATTATTACAAGATATTTTTGTGGAAAATAGGTCAGTTGTGTCTTAATAGCTTTAGGAATATTTGGGCCACCGTTTATATCCTTTACTGAAATTTTCTTTCCTTATGTATTTTTATGCTAAGTCAGTTGCTCAAAAGAAAAAGCCATCATGGATAGTTAATTGGGAAAGCACCTCTTGCTCCTTGGAGGTTGGGAGAGTGTTTTGGGGAGTACCAGAGTGTTCCTACTCTGCTTTCTCAGAGGCCTTCGCTATTCCTCCCTGTCAGTGGGAGGATACTGTGATTCATGTCCCTTAGATAGGAATGGCTGTACCAAGAGGAATTGAAATTAAAAAATGGGGAATTTTTGTTTAATTCACCATAAACTTAGCAAAATAAAGATTTGTGAGCTATCAAATCCTTTTAGAAAATTTGTCTCTGGCAGTCATCACTTCCTGTTTTCCCTATAGATATCATTACTCAGTCCATGTGCATGTCCTCTTGCATAGGAAGCTTCCCATATATCATATTTCTGTTGAAAATACGTGTTGCTGCAAAATGGCTTTGAATAATTTTTTGCCTCAATACCTTTTTTGGAATGTGAAAGGATGCATACAAAGCCTTGAACAATTTTAGATCCTTGCATTTATAGGGAAGTAGCAACAGGCAGGAAAGTAGCAAAGTAGTCCTCTCTATTGAACCACAAGGGTAAAAAAATATAGTTGAATCTGATGCAGAAAGCAAATGAACCTAAATTGTGGTCACAGTGGGGAAGAGAGAACAGTGGAAATACATTCTGTTATCTGAATATGAATTGCCTCACAATTGCCACCTTAAAAACGGGCATTGAAAGGGAAATCAAGAAATTTTGTGCAAATATACTGAATACCTTTTAGATGAATAGAAGGAAAGCAACCAGAGAATTTTGTTGCATATTGTAAGTTCTGTTCTAATATGAATGTAATTAGCATAGATTTCAGAGTTTTTATCATCTCTTCCACTAAAATTCTTTCAAGATACTTTTGTGAAGGTCAAAAGAAGTCCTTCCACATTCTTATAATTCTTATAATCCATATTTGCAAAATAATTGCTTTAATTTCATAGGTTTCCCATTATAAAGGGAACTTAAATGAATTTCAACAAATACAACTTTTTATAAAAAGCTTGTTTTATCATCTCCTTTTCCTCTCTCAACCTTTGTGATTCAGGGGAGGCGGGAAGCTGTATGTCATAATGAACAACTACATCAGCGGACTTTAGTTTTAGTAGTGTCTTCATTCTCTATTGTTTGTAGAAAAAAATGAAATAAATTATAGGATAGTTTAAGTTGAAATACTAAAGGAAGCTTTCACATCAGACTTCCTGAAGTTTAACCTATATAATTTCAAGTTACTATTTTAATGCTATAATATGCCTAAGACGTTTGCATGGTTTTGGAAAAGAAAAAGTGTCTTAGAAAATCTGCGAGTTCTGTGAAACAGTTTCTGCATGTTGGCATGTACATTAGTGCATAGTATTAACTCTGATATTAAAAAACATGAACTTTCTGGAGATTCATACTTCACAAGCAAAAATACCATATTGTTGTATTTCTGTGTCTCAGAGTCCCAGAATAGAGTACAACATTGTGGAAAGAAATACTGCCCTTTCTCCCCCCAATTTTTTTCCCCCCAAAGCTGAGTTGGCAAATTTGCCTCCTTTAGGAAGTTAAAGAGCCAATTGCCAATATATCTAGATTTGTAAAATACTGTTTTGAACACAAAATTATTAATAATTAAAATAATTAGATTTAACCAAGAAAGAAATGCCTAGCGAAACAATTTCCGCAGGTGAAGGTTAGAGCGTTAACATTTCAGTTAGTAATGCTTTGTGTAGACTGGCTTTATAACTGTCACTTTTCCCTATGTTTATTACAAACTGGAATCCAAGTGAAAATCTAGGGGAAAATTTGAATCTAAGTTGTAAATATTGTTCTGAACTTAAGTTGAGAGACTAAAAAAAGTGAAATTGGAGAATAAA